CTCTCGCTGCGGAAATTGAATATACGACTCCAACTTCGCAGGGCGCAATTCCCTATCGGATGCAACTCGAAGCAACTACGACTGCTGCGTCAGCATTGGTGTCCTCGTCGCATCGACGAGGTGATCCAAAAAACTCTCACCATATCATCCTCCCTCTTTCAGGCAAGCTGATTGAGATACTGGTGTCGGATGGAGAGGATGTTGTTGAAAATCAGGTCCTGGCTTTCGTCAAGCAGATGAAGATGGAACTGGAGGTACGAAGCCCTCGAAGTGGCCGGGTCAAATGGGTTTATGAAATGGAAGATGAAGAGGAGGATGTCGCTGATGGTATGCTTTTGGTTGAGTTGGAGCCAAACCATGGCAAAATGGAAGTCCGGGGCAAGTTATGATTCTGTGTATAAACCAAAGCGCTGAAGTGTAGGAAGGCATGAAGTCCCTTCATAAATCCAATTCCCGAGTCCGACATATCGCCAGCAAATCAGCTCATAGATCCACCTGGTCTCTCAGCATCATTGGTCTAGTGGTAGAATTCGTCGTTGCCATCGACGAGGCCCGTGTTCGATTCACGGATGATGCACAACAATTTCCTTTTTTACTTTTTTACTTTTTTGTTTTTAGCTCTGGCAATTTGATGTATTCAATCAAGCATAAGAAATATATTGCCAGCGAATCAGCGCACAGATCCACCTGGTTTCTCAGCATCATTGGTCTAGTGGTAGAATTCGTCGTTGCCATCGACGAGGCCCGTGTTCGATTCACGGATGATGCACAACAATTTCTTTTTTTTCTTTCGGTTTTTGGCTCTGCTAACTCGATGTGTTCAAGCATAAACAGTATTTATTTTTATACATACTCGTCTAAGATGGTGTTTCTTCAGATTAAAATCCAAATTCGAGCTTTTGTGTGTTTTTTGTTTACTTTTTGCAATCCGAGGCAGGCGGTCGGAAAAAGCGGTCACTTCTATATGTGACGTCACCCATCCAGCTTTCCCATCCTCTACTCTTCCCTATATCCTCTAGCTTGACCCAGAGTCCATTTTTCAGTATGGATGCCCTCGGTGTCTATGTGCTGACATACAACTGTGCAAGAAACTTTGCCGATGTCGACGCGTTCGCAAACCACTTCTTCGATGCACTCCCCGCGTCTGGTGCGGGGAGCTCCGCACCCGACCTAATTTTCCTCTCGCTACAAGAGATCGCACCGATCGCCTACTCGTTCCTCGGAGGATCCTACCTTGTACCCTACTTCGATGCATTCCGCCGTGCCGTCCAGAAAGCCTCCGCACAAAAATGGAATCACCACTATGTGGATTTCCTCACCGACAATACAGGAATGACGGGCCTCATGCTTTTCGCGCGCGAGGAGACTCTAGGCAAAATCGCATGGATCGACACAGCCCATGTTGGGGTCGGGGTTCAGGAACTTGGAAATAAGGGTGCTGTCGGGGCACGCCTGGGATACGTTGTTGAAGGGCAGCCATCCAAGACCATGGACCTCACTTTTGTCGCGGCCCATCTCGCTCCCATGGAGGATTCCTGTGAACAAAGAAACAAGGACTGGAAGAGCATTGTTGAGCGCCTTGTATTCATGCACGGCGACAAGAGACCAGCAGAATGGTCAGGCGTGGACGAAAACACCAGCCTTCTCGACGACGCTGCATCAGCCCACGCAGAGGGCAGTCGCAGAGATCTCTTCGCGCCAAATGCCTACATATTCCTCGCCGGAGACCTGAACTACCGCACTTCAAATGTCGGACCCTCGACTGGGGAGGTCGAACAATTCCCTCGGCGAAATGTCAACCTCGATGACCCGTCGCACTATTCCCACCTTCTGAAGAACGACCAGCTCGTGCGCGAGATGAGCTATAGCCGGACCTTCCACGGCCTGTCCGAGGCGCCGATCGATTTCCCTCCCACGTACAAATACTCGGATGCCGCGCGTGAAGCTGTCCGCCAGGGCTTGGACACGGATGATCATGAATGGAAATGGTCGAATCACCGCTGGCCCAGCTGGTGCGATCGAGTCCTTTACCTCGATAAGCCTTCGTGGGTTGGTGAAGCTGGAAAGGTCAAACCGCTTGCTTACGATGCACTGCCTCTCTTCGCGCAGTCCGATCATCGTCCCGTTGCACTCGTTGCATCGGTGCCGCTGTTGTCCTCTGACGCATCTTCAAATACTGAGAACGCAAGACGGGGTCTCCGAGCTGTGGCTCCATTCTCTATCGATCCGAGATGGAAATCCAAGCGAGACGTGGCGCGACGAAAGGAGATTTTAGTGGGTGCAGTTGCATATCTGGGACTGACCAGGGAAGGAAACGGGCTGCTGCTCGCGTCGCTGCTAGGTATTTTCGGGGTGTGTTTCATTCTTCGATCTATGCTGGAGATTTGAGTGACGGTGTAATGAACGGCGCTTCTCGGAGGCTTTCTTTTTTCCTTTTTTCTTTTATTTTTTATTGCTCTGTCCTGCTGCCTCTTAGGTGTTTTCGGAATATCATGCAATGCTGCCAGTCGCCAGAATCGGGTAGATGAAAAAGCCCTTCCTTTTCATTCTGCATAGTCTCCAAGCTTCCGAGGTTGGTAATCCGGTCACCGGCCTCAATTGAATGTGTCTGCAGGGGGGTCCCGCATTTCTTCAAATGGGTCAGGTCCATCAGATAACTCCGGCTGTCCCAATTATGCACAATCAAGGTATGTAGAGGATTTTCCTAACAACAGCCTAAACTAGGCAGCACTCTTGGCCAAAGTCACATGAATCGAGATCCGAAACGGCCATACATTCTGCAGGTGGGAAAAATGGCGAAGGCTGGGGCGTTTGAATTTCTTAGATGAGATCATATTTCTGGGTTTTCTGATTATCGCTCATTTCTGACTAGAGGCTTGACTGTGATGACTGGGCTGAGACTGTAGGCTGCAGGGGAAGTCTGCATAGGTCTCTCTCGGATTCTGTTACTGTCATAGTAAGGTTTTCACTCTTCGAGGTCAACAGTCTCTCTTTTTGTTCCACAGGTTTTTTTTTATATTCTTTTTTTTCCTAGCTGTGATGGTCCAGATGCTGAGATAAATATTCGATTGTCTTCTAGACGCCAAAGTATTTCTGTTCCTGAACTGTGGGCCACTATTCTTTCACGGACCGGAACATCCGGCTGCAATGGAAATACAAAGGTCTGCTAATATGTACCTGTTCCTACACTATACATCCGATATGGCCCTGAGCATAGTAAATTAGTTATGTCACACCAACCATTGACAAACGTGCGATAACGCATGGAACAGGCCACATGAACCGGTCAAGTGACCAGCAAAGAGCTTAATTTCTTGATTCTCCAGAATTTAAAAAAGAACAGGGCCACGTCTAGCCTTCACCGCGTGTACCACCTTACAAAAAGCCTAGGGAAAATGTGAAGATGAGGTTTCATGAGAGGCGGTGTATGGTCATGAACGTGTTGCTATAGAGAGATCTAGTCGGACTTCTGGAATGCACAGCACTGGATCTGACAGTAAGCCCTGCATTTTGGAGATTTGTAATTTCTCATTTTTTTTTACTTTGGAATGTTTCTGGCTGGAGAAAAAAAATAAAAAAATGAAAAATGAAAAAAGGCCGGGGTCCACAGCCTCCACAGGGATGAAAGGGAGAAAGAAACCAATACAAAATGTAGGTCCAAGTCAAAGTGCTATTGAATTGGATTGTTTGAAGTGAAGTTTCAAGGACTACAATATTGGATTGTCATTGGTTTATAATGAATATATGAGATAACGATCATCTAAAGAATGATAGAGGGATAGAAGAATAAGGGGTACAATAATAAAAAAAAAGCAAAAAAGATGTCATTGACAGGGCTGATCAGGAGAAAGTGGACAGTACAGAAGGATCAGAATGTTCCATGCCAACTTAGAAACAGGCCTGAAAAGGAAAATCGAGGAAATCATCCCCTGAGTTCGGTGGAGATTTTTCCAGAACAAACTACTCCATACGGAGGCCCAAGACCCAGAATTAGGAATCGAGGGGTGTTCTCAATTTGAAACCCCAATACTCCGTACTAAAAATCAAGTAAAGGGAAAAAAATGTAACCAGGTCCACAATATATGTACAATTCTACTTCGTCATGGAGTACTTTCATAGTGTTCACAGAACTACTTAATCTGAAGCTTAACGGTTTGGTTTGCATTAGGTTGCTGTTTCGAAATATGCACTTGTCAGCTGATCCACCTGTCCCTGCAATATACATAGACTACGAGTCATTTCGATGCATTGTACCGGCCTCTTTTTTTTTTTTTTTTTGATGTATAGCCGATCCTTAGCCCCTTCATGCACCGAAGACCAGCATTTGAGCCGATCAACCCGCATCTTCGGGTCAAGGGATCATGATCGACCGATCTCTGCAGTAGATACCTACAAAGTATGTGCGGAGTGATATAGTTCCAGATTCCACGGAAATATTAAACGTTGAAAAACGGCGAAGTGTATGGTACCTAATGCTACCCAAGGTCTCCCATCAAAAGAAAATTAAAAAAAAAGACAAGAATTATTCAGATGGTTCAAGTTAGAGAGAGATTAAAGAAAATAATATAATATAAATAATGTACTAAAACAGAAAAATAATATAAAACATAAAGAATAATAGTGAATAATGGTAAAAAAAAAATAATAAAAAACCAACCCCAGCAAACGGCCGTAATAATGGAACCCTAAAAATTCTAATCCTCCTCCTATTTTCACTATTTCAAAAGTGATTTAAATGTCTAAGCCATCTTTTTGAGCCTCTGATATAAACATCCCATCTTCTCCCTGGATCCTCTTCTTTCTTCCAAATTTCTCTAGCCTTGACCTTGTGGCTGAATTTCTACCTTGAACCTCCGACGTCATTGTGTTGTACTACACATTCTAGGCCTTATTCTTCGTTACATTTAACCTTGAAAAGTTTACTTTTTTTTCTCTTCCTTTTCTTCTCTTTGAGATCCGATTCTCTTCATTTGATCTAAAACCCCCGGTCAAAATCTATCATGTATTCCTGCGCAAACTATCCTCGTGGATGCCGCGGCCGTGTGAACAGACAAGGAGCGAAATGCTCTGATTGCGTTGTATGTGATTCCTATATCTTTGAAATATGCCGCAAAGAACCGGTTCAATAGAAAAAGAAAACTAATCCCCTTGGCAGTCTCTAAATTTGCGCCGTCCAGCTTTCGCTTCACCATTCGCCCAACCACGCGACTACAAGCGAGCGCTGCCCTCCGAGCTCTTTGATAATTCATCCAAGGCGCCCGAGCTTGAGCTGTAATGAGTGCAAAGCACCCTTTCCCGCCACGGTCCGGAGAATAACCCAGCTCCTCGCTTTGTTGCATCCTGCTGGCTGGGATTCACCTCGCATGATCTACGGCCGCTTCCTTTGTTCTTAATTACCTTTGTCTCTCTCTCATCTGCATCGCCGGGAGTTTCTTTATTATATTCGGCGGCCGCCTGCTATTCGCTTGGCCGGATTTCCTGGTTTTCTCACTTTACCTCACCTCTTTGATCTCGTCCCTCTCTACATTGGCCGGGCTAATGAGCGAGCTTCCGCGAATCTCCTTTTGGAAACTAAGGAACTTGGCATGGACTTCGCGAACATTTCCTTTTTCCGCTCGCTTGGGTTTGTTTCTATAAAGAACCACCCGCTTTGTTTTTTTTTTTTTTTTTTTTTTGCATGGATAGATCGCTTTTTTGCATGGATACCGGACATGGATCTGCCACTGGAGGGCAGTGGCGCTGATGGATTGGGTTCTTTCAACACCCCGGTTGAGCGTTGATCGACCCTTTCTTTTCCTTGCGCATGCGTGTGCTTTGATATTCTTGGTTTTGCTTTGGTACTGGTTTTTACGCCCTATTTTTATGTTCTTTAACTGATGTCGAGCCTTTTCTTTGTGAACGGTGATGCCATACCCCTCTGTTTTACTTGCGCTTTCTATCATATGACCATTCCCCTAGTGCTATATACCTATTTACGGCATTCACATCTTTATGCCTTGACCTTCTACCATCTCTTCTTGATCTTTCAATGATCTAGAACTAAATCCAGAACACTTAGGCCATGTAAGATATTTATTATTAAACCCGACACCTATTTTAGATACATATCCTACCCAACCCTTACATTAACGCGTTTGGGTCTAAATTACTAGACCCTCAGCCCCAATGCCGGGGCTGTGAAGTTTCGGCCCCAAACCCCCTCCCCTCCCTAACCCGTCGTGGAGACCCGGCACCCGGGTAATCCTCTTCCTCTTAACAATTTTCAGCCGCAACTGCCGCATCTCACATTGAAACAGACCTCTGAGCCCCAAAAGACCGAAGAAAGAAATAGAAAATACCCCAAGTTTAGAAATGCGCTTGTGCACATACCCCGCCATCTCTCATCTTTGAACACACCGACAATAAACTCGTACGGGTATTCATCCTTCACAGCCCTCAACCCACCCATTTTCTGTGTCGCATCACCATCCCCCGATTCCCTGCGCCATGCCGAGACAACCTTGTAGCTACATCCCCGTCATAATGTAGACCTCGCTGGCCCAAATCTATAGATCTGCGCCTTACGATATATACGCGGGTGGTATGCTCCGCTACTGGTAAGTGGCCGAGGCTATGTCGCACACGGGTTAGGCAATGACATTTGTGCGACGCTTGGTACAACCTGCGCCGTCGATCGTTTATCAGCTTTTTTTTATGGCTCACGCTACGCAGGGGTACTCCCTGTCTTTGTGGGCGCACATACACATAACATGCACAAACTGTCACGGGTGGTATTGGATTGACGTAACGGGCCTGATATGATTTAACCTCCCGGAGCATTTGGGGGGGTTTTTTTTGCAGGTTGTGAAAGTCATGTGGTCACCACATGTGTTTTGGGGATCTAGACTGAGTGGCTGGGCCTGGCCTTTTCGGAGAATTAACGGTTCCGAGAGAATGGGATTTTTGTTTATACGGAGTCGAAGTACGAGACCTTTTTACTGGGAACGTGGTTAAGGCATGTCATACGTATTATCCGAAGGACAGGGAGGGGAAAGGGGGCCATATAGGAGAATATCGAGGAGAAAGAACTATGTCGATCGCTTGTCTCAAAGATAGATAGTTCCCACTCCGCGTGTTTTGTCCACATCTGAAACTATCTTTTCTATATTGTCTATATTATTGTAAGCTAGACCTAGACATCGAGCCCAACCTAACGCTAAAATGAACTGGGCACTAAGGGTAACCAAAAAAAGACACAAAAACCGGGCAAAAGAACTAAAAGGATTTAGAAGAAAGACAAACCCACATTCCATAGTTGTCGGATAATGTAAAACAAAGCCCAGTGGGATAAGCTAACTAAGGAGCCTAGCGTGAAATCCGCTTCTAGCCGCTTCTACTGGCCTTCTATGCGCCTTCTCTTTTTGTTTTTAGATTTCAAGCCCCTTTTTTTCTTCTGTTTTGCTCGGTATTGGCGGTGTAATTTTCGACGCCCAGCCACATACCATGTGTAGCGGAGCGTTGTTTCAGGAACTGTGGGGAATTTAGCACGTTCCATCTGCACGGGATGTCTGCGCTTGGGAATGAGATACCCTAGCTTTGGAATTTTTTTAATTCGATGATCGCTGTGGGAAGTGTAATCAGTGTGGCGTTTCCCATTGACACTTAAGTAAATCTTCCTAATGTCATTTAATAGTTCAATATTCGTTGATATGGTCACGAGGTCTTGCTAATTATTTCGCTGGGCACTCTGTATTTACAGATCTGATGTAATATTGGGGTCACGTTCCTGAATCTTCTAGAGCACCTATAGTGTGGAAATTCTAAAGGATTGCTTTCTTAATTACCTAGATTAATACTATATTAACTCGTCTCGTCAATATCCCGACCCAACGGCAACATGTTATGCAGTAACTAGAACAAAGGGGCCAATACTCCGAAGATCAGAAAATAGATTGGATATGATAAAGACAAGACAGGGGGTTCACATGAAATCCAACCCAAAGACTCGGGAGCTTGTTTATATCCAACAATCAACTCAAAGTGGATATCGTGCGTTGTTGCATGCAGCCCGAACACGAACACTCGATATCCACCTTACCCTATAAGCGTTCAAAGACCCCCGTTTGAACCTCTAATCCGATACAAAGGTGTCAAACTATCAAACAGACCGTCGTAGATATATACCCGATCGGATCTACAATATAGGATTTCTCGGCTATAGTTACCACCTGGTTATTAGTTTCGGTCTGGAACGCGCCTCCCGGTAGGGATAATAAGCGCGGAACGGAGGGCTGGGAAGTTGACCGGCAAGTTTGGCCCCTTGGTTGAAGAGCCGCTTTGGGGCGTAGATCCTTTAATCTCGGGTTCTAACGTGGCTAGACGCGTTACGTGGACACTTGGCGGAGAAATTTTGCCATGGATAGATTGTTTTTTTGTTGACAGTGTGAGAAGTATGTACCATGTCGCGGTTTAGTTGGATATTAGTTGACGCTTTTATATCTTAGGCTTTATAGATCATTGTTCAACCCTCGGGTGGAGGTTGTGGAGGCTCAAAAATTCAATTCGTGTCTTCAATACGGCATCGTAGATATTTCTCAGTGCAGCCATCTAGACATCCAACATCTGCCGGCACACCCATTGTGCGGTCTTTGTATGGAGGGTCCAATATCGCTCGTCCTCCAAAGGTTCGATGTTGGTTGCTTCGGTGTCATGCACACCTGCGTGACAGGCCATGCCAAGTGCCTCAAAAATAACAACCTGATCTCTCATATTTGCATCTAGACAAGCTCTCTTGGCGGTGGACGGATTTTTCCGGTCTGGCTGGGCATTTGGGCTTTCATTTGAGATTTCCCCGATGAATCCTTCTACACATCGACGGACTAGCTCTGCAGCCGCAGAAAACGCTAGCTCGTGATGAGAATCACGCAGAGGGTCATAGGCTGGCCGTTGTTTTTGTTTCTTTTTGCTCTTTGACTCAGTCAGGCGATCGCCTCCCACGCTGCCTAGAATTTCATGGCCAATCCTGAACCCAGATGAAGTATGGGCCACAAGAAGGATGTATACGTGGCTGTGGTGATTTGTAGCTTCCGATGTATGGATTTTGATAGGAACCGGTGTATGTTTGGCTGATGATTTGCTGAGAGGGTCTTCTTTAGGTGGAGACGAAGTAAAGTGTTTGGCAAATATAGACGGATCCAGCTTTCTAGCTTCACGCCGGAGAGTGCGTTCAGTGACTTGTTCAATAAACTGGCGAATAGTACTCCCCGTTCCATCTTCTGCATCGCCGTTTAGGATGGGTTGATCAGGTGCTAGTACTGTGACATCAATTTGCGTGACTTTTCCGCGTTTGTGATCCATCAAATTAATTCGTGGGAAGCTGCGTAGAGGCTCGGCTGGCCGATTCCGATCTTTTTCCGATGTCCCATTAGATTGATTTTGGTCTTCTGAGTTATGTTCAAACGCGAGTGTATGTATGAGGAAAGTGACTGCTCCAAGGTCAACCGGTCCCGTTGACCAGCCGCGCTTGTGGAGGATGATAGACAAGGGAGGAAGTCCAAGTTTGGCGAAATTGGGCACCATAACTTGCGCTGCGTAGTCATATGATGGAGACCAATAAGCGTTAGTTCCACCAGTTATGTTGACTTTTACAAAAGGAGCAGTCCCCCGTGATCCAACATAAAGCAGATATGGGTAGAGCGCCTGGAAGACGAGAAGGATGGCACCGGCAGTCGTGAGCTTGATGTCGTATTCAGTCTTTATGGTCACTTGCGACAAATCCAGGAGCGGTCCTCCTTTTGATCTGCTTGACTGAGGAAAGAAGTTCAAGAACTGGGAGCCAAGCTCGCCTCCCGATACTTTGCTGCCGCTAATCTCAGCCAACAACTTCAAGGTTGCAGCATCAGTTCTCTTGAGCCCCTTCTTTCCCTCTCTGTTTCCGCGGACATGATCAATGCTCACCGGGCGACCGGTCAATGCAGACAGGCCGACGGCAATTCGAACCAGCTGCCCACCTCCTTCTAGGGTTCGGCCGTTCAAATAGACATGGTTGGATGAAGAAGATCGCGAGGCCACCATTTCGGGTAATTTGTTAATCGAATTGTCTTTGACACTGAGATCTTGAAATCCCCGGAGAATTACGAACAGTTAATATATCCATTTTGACCGGTCTCGTTTTTAGGACTTGAGTCAGCGCACCATCTTGGCGTGAGTCACCGTTTTGGCGCCAAAGCTTGGAAGTACAGGTCTCAGCCTCAGGGGCTCTTAGCGCTGCTTAAATCAGCTAGGGGGAAATTATGATTTCCGAGGAAGTGGCTGAGGTTGATGAAGTTGATGAAATGGAAGTTGCCAAGGTAGAGCTCCAGGGCACCTTCCGTTGATCTACTTCCTTCTAGTCCATAGTATCTCTTAAATCTTCCCTCTTCAAATCCCTTCTTCTTTAGATTCCTTGCTTTAATATCTCTGTAGTTATATACTCCGCAGGCATTTTGTAACATGTTTTCCTCTGCATCCAATACACGCAGTCTAAGAAGGTCCATGTCCACCCGCTCAATACGAAAGCCGCGACGACCAGCCCCGGAGATTCCCGATGCTGCCATGCAGCATGCAGCCGCTGCAGCTGCAGCTGCAGCTTCGCGGGCAATGCGTTCAAGTCAAACCTCGTCTCAGGAGACAAAAACCCCTTACGAACGACTAGGTGGTCCAGGAAATGTTGCCATCCCTCGAAGGCGTCCCGGGTCGAGCCTTCGGAGCACTGATGATAGCACGTCTGTCGGTCAAAGCGACTTGCCTAAAGTTTCTAACCCTCGTCGGTCCAAAGAATCGACTGGTGTATCGGCTCGAGCCTATTGCCTCGATGACCCTGCGGCCCTTCCGCCGATCACAGAACTCGACGGGCTTGATGGGCGGGACAGCTCAGTGCCCTCTTCATATCGCCGATTGCGCAAGGCCAAGTCAATGTTCTCAACCAGGCAGCGAACTTCACAAACTCCATATGGAGTGCCTACCATTCCTTGCGGTGATCCCCTTGATCCTGAGTGCAGTCCTGAATTTCAGCTGCCACGGACAATGAGACGATCCATGTCTTTTCTTCGAGGAGGTTATCAATCCCCCCAAGTCGGTCCAACTGCTAAGGGGCACGATGCGGCTATTCAGCTTGCTCGTAGTCAATTCGCCCAGGATTCCAGCGGTAGAGGTGTTCAGGCTCGACGGTCATCTTTCCTGCTCAGACGCAAAGAGCACAGGCCACTTCGAAAATCGTTCCGTGCGACAAGTGAAGGTGCCTTCGGTGCTTCTACTGGGCGTTCTGATAAATATCGATCTTTTTCAAGTGCCATCAAAAATAAATTCAGACGTGTGTTTGGGTTTTCCAAGATCGCAGATCAACAACCTGCACCACATGGTAGCAACCCAAATGGCGCCGGGGCGGCTATGGTACCTCCGATTGAAAAGGACGCCGAGGAATACTCTCCTCGCAAGTGTGCAGCTATTGAAGACGGAATTTCCAACTCTTTCCAGTCAATGCCCCAGTCTCCTAGCGGCGATAGTATCTGCACTTCCAGGTCGCGCGTCACCAGTTGGGCTGATTCAACCATGCCAAACACGATTGCAACGCGGAAGCCAGGACATCGCCAGTCTCTCTCCTTGATTAGGGAGGATGGGGATCGGAATCAGCAACTACCACGGACACCTGCAATGGATGATACCGAAAATCAATCTCCTTTGGCCGTTAGAGCAACCACTCATCAAATTAGCGTTGTTGATAGCCAAGATTTGTACACAGCTTTGATGAAACAGATGGGCCGGAATTCCCTGTCCGATTCCAATGAGGAGATGGTCTTCGGCAATGTATCGCAGCATCGTGTGATTCCAGAACGGACGGATTCGGTCCACTCCCAACACGCCAAACGGACTATCCGCCATGTCCCAAGTCAAGAATCCTCATTCTCACCCGGTTCATTCGCAACAGCGCGTGGTGGTGATCAGTCAAGTCCACGAAAGTATCCGCGCTCAGCTCGGTCGATGCAAGTTTCTCGAGGCATGCCGCCTCGGGTGACAAATCAACATAGTATGACAGCTGTTTCAAACAAAAGGTCGCCGCAATCAACGTACGCTTTGAGCGAGGAATCAGATGATGATAAAGGCAGTGTTATTGTTTCTCGCCTTCGGGCCACGGAAAGAGATATTGTTTCCCCAAGTATCTATTCCCGGACTACCAGTGGCAATACCCCAGCGAAAACTGACAATGCCGACATGGGTATTGATGATGAACCAGGAACAGCGACTATATTTACTTCACAGCGAACAACATACAGTTCACCCAAGCGTGCCAATCGGGTTGCATCTCCCACGCCTCCTGTAAATCCAAGTGTGGATTGGCAGCAATGGATGAGCTCGGAGATCGAACGAATTGAGCAGACAAGCCCCACAAGGGAACACATCAGAGAAGATGCACAATACCAAGACGATGATGAGTACTTGACCAGCATAGCTCGACGAGCTCCTATCGCTGTCACTGCTCCCGCTTCGGCAACTCTGCTGAAGGTTCCAGGCAGCCAAGGTTTCACCGAGCGCAAAGCTTCAGTTGAGAACAGAGTCCCATCACAGAGCAATTTCTCCCGTCCCTTAAGCACGCGAACCATCTTGCCATTGCAGGCAACCAAGTTAGAAAATATGGCGCAGACTCACTCTAACTCATTGCCTTTCGATACCGCTGCTAAGTCTGATGAAAATATTTCATCCAAGCCCATCCCCATTGCTTACAATCAAGAACCGTCCCCGATCAGACTGAGATCCGGAAACATACAGCCACCAGAGTCCCCAACCCCTCAGAGAGTAGGATCGAAGCGGTCCTGGACCAAAGAACAGCAACGACGCTATTCAGCCAGGCGCGCTCCGATCGCCCAAGATAGCAGGATCAATCATTTCCGGTCCATGCGCACCCAACGAGGAAACCGTGTAAACAATGAGAACGCGATGGAGCAGGATGAGTACAATGACATTATGGAGAGCTATAGCCAGCTTCAGGACATTCATTCCACCGTCTCTAGCAAGCACATGGTGGATTTGTTCTTGGATAGTCGCCGTCGACAAATGGGTGAAGTCACTGACAACAATGCAACCACAGACGCTTTTCTTTGAACGTGAGACTGACACTTTTGCCATTTGAATACCTTCGGGGTGTTTCATTCAAATGCCTTTTGCTCTGTCGTATTCTTTCCAAGGGCCTGACCATTCATTCACTCATTCACAAACACATCCGTTACTTTTGGGACATGTATTGTATACTAAAGCTCCCGGTCGGAGTTAGGTGTTTTTTTTTTTTGCTTGATATGGAAGCATGGAAACAGCTATTGTTATTTGTTATTATTTCCACTTAATACAAAAAAGGCCCATGTCCTTTTCATTCATTCAATATTCACCGATTTTGAAAAAAAAAAAAAAAAAAAAAAAAAGGATAAGAGCAAAAAAATAAATCTCTCCCTCGGGGAATCGAACCCCGGTCTCCCGCGCTTATCGGTTTTAATGACAAGCGGAAATCATCACCACTAGACCAAGGAAGACGTGGTCGAGTTAACTCGACCATTGGCTGGTTGATGGAGATATAAGCCCATATATACCCATTCTATATTCACTTATTTTGAAATAATGACAAGAGCAAAAAAGAAATCTCTCCCTCGGGGAATCGAACCCCGGTCTCCCGCGCTTATCGGTTTTAATGACAAGCGGAAATCATCACCACTAGACCAAGGAAGACGTGGTCGAGTTAACTCGACCATTGGCTGGTAGATGGACATAGTAGCCCTTATTAATATCAAGAGAAAACATCCAATATAATACACAGAAACAAAATGCTTGTGAAACTCCAACCATTTATTTAGGTAATAATTAAAAGTCAATGTATCTTGTAGTCAAAGGTTTCATGAGAGAATTTTTAATATGTACGAATGTAGTTAAAAATAATCATTAAAAAGCATGAAGCTTGATATATATCTCTCGACTGTCCTGTCGATACCATAGATGCCGACCGCGAGTTGCTATCAACAATACAGGATCTGATATACAGCCATGATATTATATCAACCATAAAATATTTCTTCGGTTATGTCGCTCCTAACGGGAATGAATCCGCACAGAGAGAACTTCCAGGGAGACAAATAAATTACGAGTTCAAATAGGCACATTCGTTTTTAGAATAGTTTGTGCAGCCACTGGTATTCACGCGTGGTCTCAAGTGGACCACTACGTGTAAGTGTTCCCCGTATGATCGGTTGGCCCATAGACATATGTAGGTATTTCCCGTGTAGGTATTGGCCGTGTGGGTATCCGCCATGTAGACCACTATGTAGGGATTCTTCAAGTAGGTAATTGCCATGTAGGTATACCCCTTGTAGGTATTACCCACACATAAGAGAAGAGAAATGTCTTGTTTGCGTAAGATGAGGCACATAACACATTTTTCCAACAATGGATATTTTCCTGGACATTCTTGATACATTGGTCCTCGATTGGTGCTACGCATTAGTCTCGCCGGACCCAGCGACAATTTCTAATAATGATAGCCTAGCCACTGCCAATTTGAACCGACATGTCCGGCTTTATTACCCCATGCAGCCCTCAAAGTGGGCAGAGGCAAGCCTTTGGAAGAGAGATGACATTGCCAGACAAGCCTTGTCGTTATACTTGATTACATGGTAAGTCCGCCCACTCGCAGTACAGTAGCCCAGCAACTGACATACGCAATAGGCTTTTCGCAATGATAATGTACCTCCTTGGTAGCCTCCTACTATACCACACACTATTCGACAAGAGACTACTCCAGCACCCGCGATTCCTCCCAAATCAGACCAAACTCGAGATCAACCAAGGCATCTCCGCCATTCCCGTGATGGCCCTCCTCACTGTCCCTTTTTTTCTAGCAGAGATCCGGGGATGGTCAAAGCTATATGATTTCACCAGCGACTCTCCGTTCTTCGGATACACCTTACTGCAATATCCGCTATTCATCTGTTTTACAGACAGTGGGATTTACTGGATACACCGTGCTCTGCATCACCCTCGCATCTACCGCTGGCTTCACAAACCACACCATAAATGGGCTGTACCGACGCCGTTCGCCAGTTATGCGTTTCATCCTTTGGATGGATGGTCGCAGAGTCTCCCCTACCATGTTTACCCGTTGGTTTTTCCATTGCAGAAAGGTGCATATCTGGGGCTGTTTATTTTTGTCACGATGTGGACGGTGCTGATTCGTGAGTTTTTCTGATTCCCGTGAAGCGATAGAATGATGGCTTACCATGATTCCCACAGATGATGCCGAGTACATGCCAACATCGGAGGTAATTAACGGCGCTTCTTGTCATACGATGCATCACTTGCACTTCAACTACAATTATGGCCAGTTTACAACAACATGGGATCGCCTTGCAGGAACATACCGAAAACCCCAAGGAGATAGCTTTATGCAAAGCCAGCGGATGGATGGGAAAGAGACACCTGGAGACAAGTGTGATTGAAATTGAGATGCAAGGAGAGTCTCAAGGCATATGGGAGAAATGAATGATACAAAAAATTCCACAACCCCTCATTTACTTGTAGGCGCTAGTGATTCCTAGTCAGACCCTAGCCCCCTATCTCATAATCTGCCGATCCTCCTCGAACCCCACGCAGTGCGGCTCAACGCAGATCCCAAAGCCAAATGCGTTCCATTCCCATCAAAACATCATAAGCAATATTTGGAACACCAAATATGCCCGAGAACGGCGCTCAAACGCGGGCCCTGGCGATCCCAGAGATTGTGACCTCCATCCTTCATCAAATGGACATGCGAACGCTAATCACCGCCCAAAGAGTCAGTCACACGTGGAAAGATCTGATCTGCACCACACAGTCACTGCAGGAAACTCTATTTCTCCGACCAATCAGCCATGGTCGCGACCTCGGCGCTCCAGTCGAAAACCCGCTACTGGCAGAAGCATTTCCATCAATTTTCAGTACCGAAGGTGGTGATATTTGTCTGATTGATCTTACCTGGGAGAAACACCCAGCTGTTCGAGAAATGTTCATTCGACCCGAAGCCAGCTGGCGTCGCATGCTCACGCACCAACCGCCCCTCTACCGAGTCGGGATATTCGAATCCTCCCGTTCACCTTTTGGCTGGTGTTGGACTAAGAAAAAGGCAATTATTCCGGGAGATGTACTCCGAATGGCGCCGCTGTTTGAATTCCTGATTGACCGTGGCTGGTATGACTGGGCCTACGGAGAGTCGATTAAGGCCTCTTTCACGGCCTCTTTGTGTGCTGGACTCAAGATGAATAGACTTAGGAATTGGGATGAAGCTGAGCGGACTTGGAAGGAGATGAACGGACAGTTTGATCTTGTGTTGGAGATCTGCCAGAGTACGACTTGTACGAGCGAGGAGGATTATGAGGATGGCATGGAGAAGATGGAGAAGGAGGCTAGGGAGAAGGGTGAGGTGCTTCCGGATAGTGATTTGACAGTTTGGAAAAGAATTTGTGAATCTTATCGGGCGTTGGGGTTGAAGCTGGATGGGTTTAAGATGGAGAAGTTTGACGAGGAAAGTGGGATGTGGGACTAGAATAATGAGTTATGAGTATATAATTCAGTGATGTTACAGTTCTCTCGCTTGGTTCTGGTCAATTTGTTCTATTACTACACCCCTGGGGGTACTTCTTGGCAGTATCTTGCATGGATTATGCCTTATCTCGTCACGCGACACCATACAGTCGGGATTGTTTCTTCCCTCGTTAACGTATATACACACTTCCTTTCTCTAGTTGGCTCCATCACTCCGGTCTCTAGACTACTCACCCATATCACCCACACACTCACCCTAGAGTATCGCTTGAGTACTAAGAATGTATTGACTATTGACTGTGCAAAATGATGGGCGTAAGTACGGCCGAGCGGACAGGAAGCTCTGTTTCCCACACACTCTGGTTATATGTATCTGGTTACGTGTAGGAGAGGATTATATAGTAAAATTGACCTAGAACTAATCGACGATATATGGATGAGGACCACTTTAGGGTCGCGCGACTGGGACTGAGATGGGTGAGTATGGAAAAGAAAGGGCGGGAAGCCGACAACCACTTTTTCTCGTACTGTGCTCAGCTGTGGGGCGATGGACAGCCATTCGATCGCAGCGATCGATCTGAAATACCGATCAGTCTCATAACGCCGCGCCTCAAAATAACAAGCAGTAACTCTAGGCCCCCGTTAAATGACAAGTAACTCTAATAGTTCGATATGCAATTGAGATAAGGGTCATGGTAGTATTAGTTTGGTAGTTTGACGAAATTTGGTGGGGAATAGGAAAATGTTGCAGATATGAAAGGGTGTCTTACGTATTAGATCCCCCCTACTGTAACGGGCATGTTAGACATAGTTTTCTTAATTTTCTTCTAGAAGAATCGAGTGAAAGGTAAGCTTTCTGTCTGCTAAATATCTAGAACATCCATCTACCACTGCCCAGTATTGGGGAGCATTCTAATGATTGTACTTTGTGCGGAGGGGATAGCATTCCCCTAGCATTCCCCTAGTTGCAAGGCTCTTCACACTATCTTTTTTGTACATCGTTACGCTTTGTTGACCGGCGACGTCATGACAAGTAAATTGTAAATAAGTACCTGAATGAGGTTTGCAAAAAACAACAATGATCGCATCGGCTTTAAATCATGACTCGAATAATATCCTCGGGCTCAAGTTTCCGACTAATGATATCCGACGTTCAATTTTCCTAACCCGTCGAGGTTTTTGGATATACTGGTAATGGTGACATCACCAGCCTAGTGATCTATCGACTCTCAAGAGGAACAACAAAAGCTACAATAAAATATTTTTTATAACAGTATAGTTTTTGACAAAATATAGTGTTCAGACTTTCCTCCGTTAGAACCCCCCTTGCGTTGTGCTCTTCCCCTAGATTTCCACTCTGCCCCCATATATGAGTCTTTGCCTAGTTTTTCTACGTGGGTTTCTTGCGACTTTTTAACACCTTTTCTCAATTTACGCCTGGAATCAAGCCTACAAGGTTGGTGTCTACCACTTGTGCACAATCGGCAGAATCGGCATGCTCAGGACGACGAACGAAAATGAGCCCGTCTGTGGCCCCCTGACCACTCTAACGTCGCAAGTGGCAGCGACTGTGAATGAACGTATCGATATATACTCGTCGAACATCAAATCAAGCGCGCCTTGGCACTCGCCGAACATCAAATCAAGCGCGCCTTGGCGCAGCCAACGACAAAATATTTTTCAACGGGCTTATAACCGCGTGCAACTTGCGTACTACCGCTACGAGGTGACTTTCGGTCTGTATGTGTTGACGTTCAATGAAAAGCTTGTCGTCAACGCCTTCGCTTTGACCGTTATAAGCCTCGTCTCCTGGGCACTTCTTTACTTCCCAGCCCTGGTCTATAACAAGGGGGATGATCTCATCTGGCTGCTGACAGGCCACCGCAACCAGCAAATTGGCATCGTGTTGTGACCAATACGACAATTTTATGATGCCCACGGCTGAACGTTTCTTGGCTTGATGACCACGTATCGACACACCGTGAAATATACCTTTTAAGGGCCTTTGCGGTCTACTTGCTGGACCAACATGTCCACGGCTTGGGATTGTGCTGTTTCTGCGTTTTAAGCTTTGTGTTTCCTCCCTTCAATTGAGGTGTATCACATTCTGTGTGAATGTCCCCCTTCCAAGCCCCCTTTAGCCTAATTGATCTATTATGTAAATAGAACAATAAATTATTAAAACATACAACAGCATCTGTAAGATCGTGGTCACCTAGCGTCCACGGTTCGGGCACGGGCGGCTCGCCGCTCTATTCAGGGCACTTTTGGCGGATATCTACCCACCTGAATATTCTTCACCCGAATATTCAGCCCGTACAGCAACTTGATAAGCGACAAAATTGGGGGGTTTTTGGGTTTAGACCCTCCCTCTTCTTTTCTTTTTGCCATCATTCGTTGGCATGGGAGTTTCTAACAGCTCCGGCTCTGTGGGATGCTCCAAATCATCTTTGGTAAGTTGCTCTGATATATCTGGGCTTGGTGATCCGGACTGTGAATCGACTGGTTCAGAGTCAATCGTATCAACCAAGCTACAAGAGCTAGAAGACAATCTAGCCCGTTTGTCTTGTAAGCTAGCGTGCAGTTCAATTCGTCTTTCGACTCTACCAACTTGGTTAATAAAAGTATGGATGCGGGCTAACCTCTCTTATTGAGGCCTCTGATGACAACGAAACGCTTGAAAATATCCGAACCTTTCCCGAGGACTAACAATTTTTTGTTCAATTTTTCCCGTCGGCTTTGGCTCTCCTCAGATTCACCTGCGATCTGTCTGATTAAGTCTTTGGGCATCTCGAAAGCAATTATAGGTGTAAATTTTGCAGATATTTTAAGAGTATTTTAGCAAGAAAGATGTATCATATTTGACACTATTATTAGGGATAATATATATCATTCTCACAATAAGCCGTAGACTGAGAAGGCGAGTTCAAAAAGACATCTTCAAACAAGTTCCCAAAAGGAAACGAGAAAGGAAACGCCATTCCAATGCCATCTTGCGGAACTTGATCAAATAACCCTCCAGCGGAGTTCATCCCACAAAGATCAAGTTGACTCGGTCCATTCTGCATCTCAGATCCTATCGGATGCTCTGGTATCCTTTCACCATCTTGTGTCTGCACACCTGTAGAGAATCGCCTAAGCAGGGATTCATAAATCGGATAGAAGGCCGCAACTACTGGGAACCGATCTTGCAACTTGTCAAGTATCAGCATGCAGAAACGGGCGCGATTCTGTGAGATCATTTGGACGCCAGTATCGCCTCTGTGGATGTTAACGATATAGATTGGGAGCACCGATAGCACGGGTGCAATTCTGGAAAAGGTTTATAAGACACGGGATAATTAGGGTTTATTGCCAGGGAACATACATGCTGGCTGCGGCTGCATAGAGAAGATTACTCGCCACGAGTATTTCGAGCATATGGGAGATCTCTGTACATATCTCAAATGTCGGCGTGTCTGGTCCAATATTGGGAGAGAATCTTGGGTTGCTCCGATGCAAGACTAGTCGGTATTCCCTGTAGATTCAGAGTCAGAACAGAGGGAGTCTCAAGAGTCATGCAAAAGTTAGCTTACTGGTATAATATATGAGTCAATATAGCCCACTTGCTACTATTCGCCGATAAAGACCTGAACTCTGGGGGAAGGGATGAATAGCACAAGGAAATTTGCTTTAAGCAGATATCTTGTGAGTGGCCTGTATCTTCGTCATATTTAAGAGTGAAGAATTGATCCACTGTAATATTCGTTAGCAACTTTCCTTAAAAACAGAATGACTGGTGTACCTGTCCGAGCTAGTTGCACAGCATTTATCGCAAAGGTATTTGCCTCACAGTCATTGTCTGTCTCTTGAGACCCACTGACTTGTTCAAAATCTGATTCCGATAGAGGGGAAACATTGCAAAGTCTTCCTTGTACGTGTGGAGGACGATCGAGAAGCATCGAGAGATTTATGTCCATGGCCTAGTCTAGAATGTCAGACTAGTCATATAGACCTGGGGCTTTGTGGGAAATGACCGACATATACCATCCACCACAACCTTCGCCATAGCTTTCGATCTTTCTCTTCAAGACGGATGTATGACTTCCTAGAATATCGATTAGTTGTCCACAGTCCATATTGTAGGGTTAAGTAAACTCACGCTTGATGCAGTCCTAACGCCTGTGCTATTCCCACAGAGATACCAACCCAGTACCAAGGGTCTTTGTGCTCTAGAATACTATTCCACCAATAGCACATAAGAAAGGTGGCTTGAATGGTCACAATGGCATCGGTTTCATAGCCAGCATCATAAAGAGATTTGGCTCTTTGGTAAAAGGTGAGGCTGGCAGCGTATCGGGACACAAATCCGGCATTGGCAATGACGGAATCCGAACAATATATAGTAGCAGCAAGGTAAATGGCATTTAAGAGCAAGTGTGAGCATTTACCTTCCTCGAGAGTGACAAGAAACCTTGACTCATCAATAATAGGCAGTGCAGCAAGTGAAAAGTGGAAGTAAGCGTCGAGAAGGGCCTGACTGGTCTCTTGTGATGGGAGGTCAAAAGCCCCTTGGTACTTGAGACGCTCAGTAGTAGATGTACGCATTTCTTCAATCTTCGACGTCGTCGAGCTGCCCAACCTGGCTAACATTGACCCGTGGAGGTGATCCTGAAGTGGGCGTACATCCGTGGAAACCCCGAAGGGATTCCCAAATTGTTGAACCAAGTAGTTAAGATTAGAGGAGTCTCCAACATACGGCGTTTTACCGCTTGGTCCAAGAGCTGGGAAACATGGCTCTTGTTGTGGCTTATCTCTATCGTCTTGAGCATGCGTGGCCAGTGGGTTTGAACTAGTCACTCCTTCAGACGGCACATTGCGAGAGGTCTCTGGAAGACCCCTGCTTGAGCCTGCTTCAGTGGGTAGGATAGGAAGCTTTCGTTTCCTAATTCCAAGTTAGTCCTGTTATCATGGCCTGGTGTTTTGAATTCTACCGTCCACGGCGAGATATAATCAGCTCGCATTGGCGCCGGGCGTTCCGGCAGTTAGAACACGCGACGCCTTCACTACGATCGCATTTGACACGCCGGTCATGACACAGACAACAGGCGACTTTAACTGGACTGCTGCGCGGCATTTGAAAATATCGTGAAAGGCAGTTGCTCGATTGTAGTTAGTTCGGCGTCTTGAAGTCGGCGAAGTTAGTGAGCATGGACCCACCAAGTCGCCGAATTTGGACGCGTCTAATTGGCTAAAGTCTCAAAATAACTGCCTTTTCATTGGATCAACACTACCCGCTTGGAAATATCTATAAAAGTTCTCGAAGGGGAATAATTAGGTAGTTCTACCATTTACACTTGACTTCTCGAGCTAGCAAAATATCCAGGTTAGCTGGCGACAATGCTGTTGAATACATCCTTTCGAAACATACTCTGTCGCTCCAACCCAAAGCAATGGCCACAGTGTTTCTTGCCCACCATCGCAACGACACGATACCTACGCACATCTTCAGTACCTAGCAGCTCTACATCTACACCCCTACCATTCAAAAAGGAGAAAGATGGGGCATCCGGGTATCTTCTGTATGTTACTGAGTTACCAATTATCAACTTGCATCCGATTGATCTATACTAACATTTCCCCGCTACTAGGGCAAAAGCCGATGAATTAGTCAACTGGGGAAGGCAAGGCTCCCTGTGGCCCTTGTCATTCGGATTAGCCTGCTGCGGAATCGAGATGATGCATACCTCAATGCCACGCTACGACCAGGACCGACTGGGCATTATTTTCCGCGCCTCACCACGGCAAGCCGATGTCATGATAGTGGCCGGTACGGTAGTCAACAAGATGGCACCGGCAGTGAGACAACTATATGATCAGATGCCTGAGCCAAAATGGGTGATCAGTATGGGTAGTTGTGCCAATGGCGGAGGATATTACCACTACAGTTACAATGTTGTACGCGGTGTGGACCGCATCGTGCCGGTGGATATTTATGTACCTGGATGTCCACCGACTGCAGAGGCGCTTCTGCAGGGGATTTTTCTTCTACAGAAGAAGATGCGGAGGACGCAGGTTACTAGGATGTGGTATAGACGCTAGGTGAAAGTTAAGCCCTATCGCGAAACTGGTCTCGTCGAAGTTATAAACGTTATCGGGGTCGATTTAAAATCAAAGGATTGTTTTTGAATAAGATCGAACCACTCTTGAATGATTTTTGGGTCTTCGCAGTTCGCACGTTCGTAATTATAGCGTTTCGAGAATCGGGGGAGAGGAGAGGGTGCCGTTTCATAGATTTCGTAACCTATTTTTCGCCGACCGAAAACATAGGGATAGTTCCACGTCGTTCGAGGAGAAGATTAGCTATCCCTCGTATAGAAGAAGACTGGGGGGCAGCTCCACGAGAATCCATATCTGACGGTCCGTAGCCGATTTTGAAGTGGGTGGTACCCTGGATACCCGTTACATACCTCCGTCAGCTGGAACCCGTGCGCAGATGACAAGGGATTTAGGTGAATGGGCTGGATGGATTGAAGAGTAGGGCGGTAATAGGATTTCACCCCCCGACGAATAAAAAAATGAAAAACATACAACAGCATAAGTAAAGGTGGTTACCTAGCGCCCACGGATCTGGTGTGGGCGACTCGCCGCTTTATTCAGTCTTTTTCAAGGCAGTCCAGGTAGACATTCAGCCCGTGCAGTGGAAGGTATACTTGTGCATTCTGAGGCGAAGACCGTATGAATGGCGTTTTTTCTCTCCTTTTCTGCTCTCTTTTCCACTACAGTAACTCAAGCAAAATGTATATTAGGCATTATATAATGCTGAATTATATGAGCTATGTTGTCGACTTTGGAGAGCATAATAATAACGTATTTTCAAGCGAGTTGCGCAGCCTAGAACATATAGTAAAAGCGACAAATTACAACATGATATTGCAATACTGGTTGTCTATATGAGGTTTTACTTTTAGTCTATTTCTCTTTATATGATATCTAGCCACTTGTTAGACTGAGATACATATATATTTCTGTGTTGAAAATCCAAGTTAATTCTCATTAACTGACTATTTCCAGGGTTCAACTCTAACCCCAATCCGGGGTGCATTTATGCAGATCGCTAGCACTCCTACAAGAAGGAAGACTAGCGTCTTCAATTAGATGCAGTTTGATCATACTTATACTGCCTTTAGTAGACAAGTAGTTATAACTATCACACTGTATCAGCCTCTTAAAGTTTCAATCCGGCCTGCTTTTAGCCAATTTTGCTTCTTGTTGTTGATTCCTTTCTGATCTATCATACTAGAGGCAACAATCCAAGCATAGCCTTTTTCTGGCGGAAAGGAAAATTGATTTTGATGCCTATCAATGTGTTGAAGTTTGGCTGGGTACTGGGTTGTGAGCATGACGGGCTTCGGCGATGCTTAGTCATCTAGGAACTTCAGGTGCTAGTTGCCGAGATTTGTTGTATCCACATATTTCTATCCAACCACTTCATTAGAAGCATTCGCCAAGGATTTGATCTGCATTCTCCACTCTCACGTTCTCCACCATGGCCACCATACGACCGGATATCTTCCATGACTTTTATACCATGGGGCGCGCGACTGGCACTAAAGAGGATCTCGCCGGCCGCGAGTTCCTGACACACTGTCCGCCGGATGTACCGCCTCGTCATCGAATTGTGGCTCTTTTAGGCACGACAGATCTCAATGATGCAAGCCGGCCTAGTGAAGACGGGTGGTTTGTATCGGATTTCTACCTTTTCCATTATCTCCTTGCGCCGCAATTCCCACGTCGTGAGTATTTCATCATCTTGTTTGCGTACTATCCACCCACTAACAGACAGAGCTTACTAGCACCAAACCAAATATGGTTAACATGCGATGACCCTACAATCCTCGTTCAAAAGTATGGTGAATATCTTCATGGCGACTCAACCGGCGACCGTCGCATTGTCCTCGATGCTCAGATACTTCCCGATATCTTGGCCGCTGGTAATTTGCGTGTTGTCCCTCAAGAGGATCTACTTGAGCGGTACCTGAACACAGTTCGCGAACAAGCTATCGAAGCCGACCGCCTTGAAGAACACTTGGTACTGTTGATATTTGGACATGGTTCAATGGATCATCACGTTTTCATGGGAAATACCTTCCTCAAAATGAACGATATGCAACGCGTCCTCCAAGGGAAGTCTCTAGTCACCATTTTTTCTACATCGTGCTACTCGGGGGGTGGCTTGTTAAGCCAGACCTCAGGCAACAGCAGTTGAATGTGACTGGTATTACAGCAGCAGGGAAAGATACAAAATCTTCTTCATGGCCCCTGAGTGGAAGTGTTGGGCGTGCAAGCGGCAGCTTAGCAGCAGCCGCAGTTGTACAATGCCTGATCAAGGCGGAGACCGATGAAGCCCAAACAGGCACTGAGAATCCATTGGAAAATGGGGAAATAATGGCCCACCCGACGTACATCCAGCTGGCAAAGTCTGTATATGACTGTGTCAAAGATATGGGAATGCTTGGCGACCGCCAAGAACTCCTTTTTGCGGCTGAGAATGATGAGTGGGAGTTGAGCTATCAGCCCCGCCTTGGACTCCCATTGATGAGCTACAAGGAAAAGTGGCAAGCTCTTCGATTTGTGCCGCCATCATCTACCCCCGCTCCAACAAACCAAGGATTACCCGGCGCAAACAGACGCCCTCTTAAGCGCTTGCAGTACCTTGCTGAAGAGTACTTTGCAGCGCAACCGGGTCCCGACAACTCCGGCCAAAATATTGCTTTACATTCCTGTCTTCGGCAAGCTTTAAAAGGTGAAAACTTTACAAGGGAAAAGCTACTCGACCTTACCGAAAACACGGCCTATCGACTAGGCGCGATGTATGAAGCTGAATACCTTAGGCAGCAGGCAAACATCGACTACCCATCAATCTTTGAGATTGATACAAACATCATCCTGGCACGCAAAGGATCCACCGACCGCCAGCTAAGGAGTAAGACATGGGATATGTTACTCGCCCAAAATATCAATACCACTCCAATTGGTATTAAGCTACAGTGGGGGAAACCTTCACAGTACCTCATGCTTGCATTGATTGAGACATTGGGGTCCTGGGAAGCTATTCAAGACCATATCAAAGTGATGGCTGCGAAGAAGAAGACTTGGTGCCGGTTTATCTTCCGTGCATGGCAAGGCCATCGAGTCTCCCATAACGACGGTGTAATCACGAGACAGCGCGCGTTCATAGAAGCTTTGAAGAAGGCCAGGGAGTAGCTAGCTTTGTTTCGAGTGCTCATTGATACTGTCGATAGATTTACTAGTTAGTTAGTTTGTTTCGTGATTTTTATGTTCTCGCTGGCGGGCAACCCCCTGTGCAGGCATTGGTAATGTCTGCTTTGAATATTAATATCTCTCATTCTCTGCACTGCTTTTTTCTCTGTTAGTTAGCTACATTCTCATCTTCTTCTTCATCCGAGCCTAACCGTGGGAGCAAAAAGAGCGCAAAGTCTTCCAGATGTTGACCAACATGTCGCTGAAAGACCACAATTGAGAGAAAGCATTATTTACAGATAGAGCGGTCATAAGCATTGCCTTCTATCGAAATAGCAGCGTATTTTTGCGAAACGTGATGATACTACTAGCGACGGCTTCCATAGACCGTATTGGTTGTCGAACAACCCGGGAAAATGCAGATGTACGACACAAGACCGCGGAAAATATCTCGTGCCCACCATCTCCTGTCCCGAGCAGCGATGTAGAAAAAGTAATGGGGCTACTCAAGAAGTCCATCTTTCGCCCCCTTTGGAATAGGTGGTATCTTTGGCACATCAGAACCACAGCCCTCAAGCAGAGTGCCTCTATATGAGTGTGAAGCTGCGCGCCTACGGGGGATGTATAATACGGGCAATAGAGGAACAATGCAAGTAGCAATGCTAGTGGCCATGTCAAGCACAATGCGTCTGGATTAATTGGAGAACTGATCGCCGCCCCTCCCTCGCTAACTACTAGGAATCTTTATATACACGGAGCTTCTGCTTTTCCCAATATCGCGCTGGTTGTAGCTGTTTGCTCTACCTCGCTTGGGAGGCTGCATCTCAGCCCATGCCGATCCTCGCCAGCAAGGGCTTCCACGACATCATATGTCCATGACGCAGCCACTTGCGCACTGCGTACCGTAGTGTGTCAGCACTTACAGTAACTACCAGTCTCAAGGGGTCATAACAAAGACATAGCTAAGACCGGACTAGAGTATTGTAACTAAGACAACGTGCCTGAGAGAAAAAAGTCAGCACAGGAGGGGAAGGATACGTCAGCGGCTCAGGGGCGTGTAGGATATTCAGGTGTAGAATAGTGGTGTTCAGGGCATTCAGGTGAATAGGCTTTAAGGGGCTGAAGAGTAGGGCGGCAAGAGGTTATCTAGATAAAAAAATAAAAACATACAACAGTGAGGATTCGCTGGTGGTCACCCACCCAACTACTAACTCACCGGCGTGTGGCTTAAGTACGGCTGAGCGGACGGGAAGCCCTGTTTTCCACACCCTATGGTCGTATGTATCGAGAGAGGTGTGGGATTGGAAAATAGAATGCAAGGACTGGAAGTGATATGGTGGCGAGTTTGGCTGAATGCCGCTTTAAAGTCGCGTAACCAGGTTTGAGAAGGGTGACTGCGCTATAGATAGGGCGAGAAGCTGGGCGAGAAGGGGTTCGGGTTAGGTTGCGGGCTGGTATCTCTTACCCATTCGCGGGTTTTGGCACAATCTACTTAGGAGTTCGTAGAATAAGATATTCATAAGCACCCCCGAAGGTAGGAAGGTGTAAGCATGTTTATAACTTTAATCACTGATTTAGGGGTAGATAAACACACTATATTTTGAAAATCATATATATTGAGTTAAGTAATAAATAAATATTATGTATTCTTGAATAGAATGTAGTCAGGAAGAGAGACCGGAGAATGAAGGATCATTCAAAAGGCCCAAAGAAGGAGACAAAAGAAAGATGACAATAAAGTGGTACCTAGGAATATCGTCAGACTTTCTTAGCGAGACTTTTGCACAAATTTGCCTTTACAATAAAGAACGAGTTCAAATGATCCCTCAGGGCAGATAAGAAAATGAGTGCATTGAGCAAGGGCGCAGCCCATGGATGCAACAAATATAAGAAAACCAAAGAAAGGAGCAAAGAAAACAGAGTTCATAGGCCTTCTTTCTTGTCCTTCGCCTCTCTTCCCCCTTACTGCGTAATGCTGTACTTCGTCTCCGCCCATAACCACAATAAAAAGCCTGCGTTGGGTTTTGATATTCTCGAAATTCTCGTTAGCAACACGCTAGGGACTTGGTTTACACCTGGGCGGTCTTGTAGCGGATATTGGAAACTGAGCGAACTCGTTATATTCAGCTCATCCATTATCTGCCTGTACTCATGGCTTATCTCTTCTTTTAGCAGTTCCTTTCCCCTATTACCTAGTGTGATTGTTCTAGTTGATCCACATGGGTTTCTCTTTCTTTATAATCACGAGATAGTATAAAGCATCAACTAGTGGCTCCACTTCTGGAAGATTCCATCAATCAAACACTTACCCAGGTAAACATAAGTAGATCCGTGGATCGAGACCGAGGTAGTGCATCCATCATTCTAACCCGCATTGAAATGACGTCCTAAACTTTCTCTGACCTTAGAAGTTCTTAAATGCTGAAGTATCTACACGGCCGGTTCTTCCTCTTATACTATCTCTCCTTTACTCTTCTGTATTCACTTGATTACATTTCGTCAACATGACTTTATCTCAAGCTTAACCGCATTTCTTTCTCCGGTCCCTCTTTTAATAAGTTAATGATCTTAAGGCTGACGTCCATTCTCTTAGAACTTTATAAGCGCTTAGAATCTAAGTATTTTAAGTGTACTTAGATATAGAGAAACACGGAACTCTGAAATTAAACCCGTACTTCTTTGAACCTTAACTGAGTAAAGGGCTTCTTTAAATGTATCCTTTACATCCTGTGGACCTAGTATGGGACCAGGGAGACTCTATGAAGTTACCTCCTCTCCCTAGCGTACAGAATATCATGGATATGGCCTTAAAAAGTACCCCCCTGAAGTCGCACTAATCCCTGAGAATCTTAGAAAAGAGGACCGTTTTAATTTCGATCGGGTACACCAAATCACCCTCGTAAGCCACATTCGGTCCTATCATGCCTATCTATTATTTATCTCACTAAGACAGACCATAGAATCACTACACGTAAGTTATGTGCTATCGTGTGTGCGATGCTTCTTCGAGTGAATCATAAGCCATTCACCACATGCCATATTCATCCAGTAAGATATTTCGCGTGTTATGATGCGATGATGCATATCTAATAATTACATGGGTTTTAGCTCTCTCTTATATTAGTAATAGGCAGTCGAGAATTATTCACGCTTTATACGAAGGAAGGGCGCTGGTCTTATAATACTCACTATCATGTAACTTTATAGATGCCGAAACGGCACTAATGGAATTATTCGTCCGATATAGGCGTTGTGTGCTAGTTAGTGGTGATACCCATAGCTACCCTGTTAATTAGATAGTCTTCTTTGCTTTCTGATTTAATTAAGGATTATACGAGGACACGGTGAGCGGGGGGCCAGTACCGGCTCCCATTGCACCGCCGTCCTGCCGCCCTTGCCCCTTTAGTACCACCTCTGGCCGCTTTTACCGTTGCCAACCGGCACCTCTCTCCATCTATAAAACGCCGCTCGTCCTCCTCGCAGCTTTGTAGGCGCACTTTCTCTTCATTTTCCTGTCTGACTCCCTTTTTATCGGCACCCGCAAACTTCTACGCACTGACTTGCCACCTGATGCGAGTAGTCTTCATGCTTGGAATAGGTAAAAGACTCAGAAATGGACGTAAAATGTTCATTATATGTAGAACTAACATAAGCAATCGGAATTGATGGCCGTCAAAATTCACTGCTGATTTTCCCGGCTGAAGACAAAATTGAGTCCAGTCATTAGCTACTTTAAGGACATATTTCAAAGACTTGCCAGTCTAATAAACTTCAAAAACGTCGTAGACCTGGATGGTCAATTACATTCACACCTCTAGTCCCACTTTTCTCAGAACCCAGATCGCTGATGGCCTCCAATACTCGTCAAGAAGATTCCAAATAGAACGGGCCAGATGTAAGCTCCAACCCTCCATCCACCACTGGTGTCTGGAATGATGAAGTATGAGACAATAGTGTGCTAGGATAACGAGTGCCATTGGGTCATGTCCCCTCAGCAAGTCCACATACTTGTCTGTGAGTTGAAATGGCCATCTCAATGCCAGTTCAACCCTACGGGGCTTGTCCTGGTATATTTCCATCAAGTCTGTCAGATAGTCAATAGCAGAGGCATAGCAACCTGTGTCGTGAGTGCTGATTTCCTTTCCACGATTCTCGTTGAGACGCTTTAGGTTTGAAAAAGCTTCCTGGATTACATCAGAAAGAGGCCATCTTTTGTTGTCATCCACGCGTAACAGCACGTCTGAAATTCTCCCTTCTTTGACCCAGTGCCATGAGAGGCCTATCACTTCGCGGAGCCCTCTGCATAGATCAAACCCTTGAAGAAGATCACGAATGGGGTCATACGTGTCTGCAAATGGAGAAGACGGCGACATGGCGAACGCCAGTTGAAAGAGTATGCCGGAAAATACAAACACGATATGGCTGTTCTCGCTATTTAGTGAAAGGACTTTAGGCCGGAATAAAGCGAGTGCACGATTCTGATGCTCTAAAGCAATAGAGAAATAACTCGATCTGTTACTTCGGCTCTCTGTTCGTGCGATGTGAAGCGCAGACAATGCTAGCAGTCCGTGAATCACAAAGGGATATTTCAGGCCCTCTGTGGGCAAAAGAAATTGGAATACATCTTCAACCTCTTTGGTATGCGCCATCGTCGCGTAAGTCGAGGAGCACCAGTGGAGAAGCAGCTCCATGTCGCGAATATTAAGATCTGAAGTTTGTGGAAGGTTTCCTGCACCCCCCGCCTGGTTGTTTGGTATGCATGTATGATCCTGTTGAATAGATGTCGAGTGTGTCTGAGCGGATGCAAGAAGGGGATGGATCGGCAATGAGCAAGGAGAGGTATTCGAGCGCGGTGACGTCACGGAATTCTCTGAGGCGTACTGGCAGGTAGTGTTTCGGTTCATGCAATTCATACATTCAGGGCGGCGCTCATCGCACTGTATGCTGTCAGTGATTGGACAAGACACTACATGCGTAGTTGATGTACGAAGCACAAGGTTTGCGTACCTTGACCCGTCGGCGTTTGCAAGGAATGCACCCGTCGCGGGATTTGCGATGAGACCGTCGTGACGGCATGGCAAAATCGCGTCAAAATGAAAAAGCTATCCAGAGTGACAAAAACGAGTCAAGTGGGATTACTCAAGGTGTGGCTGTGCAAGCTTGAAACGTAACGAAGCGATCAGGCAGTCGGGCCTGATGTATAATGTAGGCTAATGAGATCTACATTACCTAAGTCATTCAACGTGGACATCCAGGCATCAAAATTACCCCTTTCAGTCACGAGCTCCATGGTTCGGGGTTTCTAGTTTCTGCTTGGATCAATTTCGATGGTTCAGGCTTATTCAATATAACTGCTGAATAAGCGCAAGTGGGGTTTGAAATCCAAGTAATGGTCATTGCAGACCATGGATACCAAAAGAGGTTATTTTATCTAGCTAAGAGATTTTCACAGCCTTAAATGTGTGCTCCACTGTGCTCCACTACCAGTAACTAGTGCCTGTATAGCGTGAACAGAATACCTAGCCTTTTATAGCAGTGCGTTACGTGGATCACTTGGATTAACTAAAATCCAATTACCCTTAAAGGGAAAAATGCAATAGGTTCAAGCGATAGGAGGTGCATCGGCACACCTAACCGCTCCTGGCTTCGCGAATATACTCAAATTATGTCCATATTTCATTGCGCGTAAACCCTTTGTACCCAAAATTGAACAGAAAAAAAAGTTAAACAGCAACGACCCAACAAATAGCCCAGTGATTAATAACGCTAGACGTATATAAACTCACGAATGCTTCCCCCGCGAAATGGCGAGTAGTTCACTGGGGTGGATGAAATTGAACAATAGCATGACCGAGAACATCAACAATCCATCGAAAACATACAAGAAAACCTCATGGCGGAGCAAGTATCCATTATTCCCCATGGCGTACTCGACCGTGCGAAATATGGAACGAATCATGATCAAAATGTTGGCAATGTAGAGAACCATGACGTGCTTATCCCATGTACCCGAGATCGCAAGTGACTTTTCACTTGGTGATTTGCGGAGGCGAATATGGAAAATAGCACTTGTGATGATGAAGAAGCCGAAGAAGAGAACCTGGATAATCAGACCTGCGACGACGATCTTTTCACCCAAGTGAAGCGCACCCCAAGAGCCACCAGCCATAATTCCCCCACCTGCAGTCCCGCATATGCCGGTTAACTTGCTTCGTTGCTTAGAAAATCAAACGCTGGGATTTCTGTGCTTACCAGCTGCTTGCACTGAGAAAGATAAAACGTCCCCGGCGACAAAGAATTTGGTCAACCATTTTTTTTTAAAGATACAGAGCTTCTCTGAATCGAGACGAAGGATCATTCGGCCCAGTATCATGTAAATTGAAGCGGCAAAGAGTGCTGGGGCAAGCAGAAGGAGCAAACTTTGCTGGATATAAGGGCCCATGGTCCAATTGGGGCTCTCTTTACTAGATAGGATCCGTCCAACATATCCAACCCATTCGACTGCATTAGGAAATTCATCATGTCAGTTGTATTGTCCGATTCAGAGATGAAGGGAACCAAGAGATGCACTTACAGAATCCGCCTATGACAAACGGAATGAAAAACCATGTGCGATGTCTGGCCAGCTGATAAAGATGAGCAAACGTGGTCAGACCGAACAGTACAGTAAAAATGATAGCCGCAGCTAGGGATGGGGAGTATCGATAATAAGCCCATGCTGCAGTTTCGTTGCCAGACTGAGTCGACATCTTCCCTTCAACTAGACTGCTACCTTATTATAACTGTAAAAAGGCAGACAGGGGCAGGGGATATGAAAGATGGGATTGATAACAATAAATCGTACGGCCGCGTTTGATCTTATATTCTTCCCTTCAGGTAATTCAATTTTGTCTGGTCCATTTTCGTATGCTTTCGTACACTAACGGTGCTATGGGCGCCAAAGAAACCTATTACTCCTTATGGCAGCCATTCCGTATAAGGAACCATACTATTCTTATACGGATGCTATACAGTGAAATTTTCATTGCCAATAGACTGACTTTCGGGGAAATCGAATATTACCGTATCGTATTCGTACTCTTGCAACCTGTAACGTGCAGAGCATTCTCCGAGGCTCTTCCGTTATTTGCCCCATCCGTTGACTGTAGAAAGTGGTATACATGCAGGGGTATTCCGTACTGGTAGTAATGCTTTCGTATTCGTAATCTAAATTTAACAACTTCTGTGGGAATTATAGATAGACATTCCATAGTGTCAGCTAGATAGAACTAAGATTCTCTCTGGGCAACAAGCGCGGATCTGCTTGGTCTCCTATGTTGTGCATATATATAGCCCGGGTTGCCGATTTCGAACCTGGTTCTGTGAATTTCATTTCGTTATCTTCATCTAAATCAAGCTACTTCCTTTGACGCTGGCTTCATTCATTTCTCTTTTGCAATTTGCAAAACGTCCGGCACCCGAGTTAGAGTTTTTCTTCCTTTATCCATCACCCACGTTGACGACTCGTTCTCTTAGACGCAGCTCGGCAATGGCAGATGATGATGGATTTGCCCTTTATAACTATGATCCGAGTGTCGCTGCAAGTGTGATATTTGCACTAGTCTTTGCCACTAGCGCAGCAGTTCATATTTGGCACGCTTTTTTCAAGGCCAAAGCCTGGTTTTTTACCGCATTCATCATTGGCTCCATTAGTCAGTACCCTTTTCATTCTGCGATGTACCACACTCGCTTTCTTCTCGGACCCTGCTGACGCACATTAGTGATGGCTGCGGGATACATTTGCCGTGCTATTTCTGCCAAAAGCCCAGCAAGCCTCGCTCCGTACATAAGTCAATCACTTTTGATCCTCCTTCCTCCTTCACTTTACGCAGCGACGATCTACATGTTGTACGGACGTATTGTACAATGCACCAAGCGTCCCGATTTATCCGCCATTGCTCCCACAAAAGTTACCAAAATTTTTGTTATCGGGGACGTCATAGCATTCCTCTTACAGTGCAGTGGAGGAGGCCTTATGGCTATATCTGGACTGTCTAGCATTGGACAGAAAGTGATTGTTTTCGGTCTCTTCTTTCAGCTACTCTTTTTTGGATTTTTCCTTTTTGTGTCTGTGAAGTTTGCGCTTCGAATTCGTCAAACCCAAGGAGGCTTCCTTGGGGCCCCTTGGGGGACTCTCCTGCACATCCTTTTCCTGATGGCTGCTTTGATCATCTTCCGGTGTGTATATCGGGTAGTAGAGTTTTTGCAAGGACACGATGGCTATCTCGTTTCGCATGAAGCTTATATGTATCTTTTTGATACCCTTCCTATGCTTCTTGTACAGGTACTGTTCCATTACTGGAAGCCGTACAAAATGCTCAATGATGGCGCTGCGCTTGGGAAAACCCCAACATATGTTAACCTTCAGGATATGAGTTAATTTGGCCTGTGAACTTTGTGGATCAAATCTTTTGTGTACTTCTGTTTGTCAGTTATGCATCCTGCGCGTTATAGAAGGTTATATAAACTATGGAGTATTGTCCACTTTGGCAGGGAGGAAGGTTCCTAAGGCGTGGGCGCATCAAACAAAGCATTGAACAAGATAGATGGATACTCTTTTAGCGAAAGGCTTGTCCTATTTGCCAATTGGCACCCACAACACACGACGTAAAGCCCCACAGGAACTGGACACATTTGGCTCTCTCTTGTAATACTACCTCAGGAAGGCGTGAAAGCGTTGATGCATTTCATTGCATACAAACCTTGGCAACATATAGAATGTGCAGGGCTTCCTAGCACATTGTACACATAATGGGGCGTCGATATAGGGAGTTGCCGTTAGCGCTGGTTTACGACTCTTTGGGTATGATTTTCAACGTTTGATATCGAAACTACGGCAATTTCCTGATGCACTGTTGGCTGTCGAGAATATGGTCAGGTGCGATATCTCTGAGATATTAGATATTCAAGAGGAAATTTATGCTAAATGCCTGATAGAGGGCGCATCTTTTACTAAAGGGCGGATGACAAGTGAATTTAAGTTGGTTAAATGTATCAAGAAGTATACATGCGGCACAAAGCGAGGTCCTCATAGCATCGAGATGAGTTAATGAGGTATAATAGGCCATTGGCTGCACAGTTGGGTCTCTAAGAAGCGAATTGCCGATTGAACTGCCTACATGGTCCCTGTTCCTACAATTACGGGGATCCCCGATCGTTGGCTCAGGCAGTACTAGAAAGTGACAGGGATCCGAGATATAATTTGGTTTTCCATATGCGAATATCAACTATCCACGGACAATTGGATGAAAAGTCAAATAGTCGAATTGACATTGATGATAAAAGCAGCGAGGAAACCCCGAGCAACCAAAAAATAAGCATCGGTTTATGAATCTGGAACTTCGACCGTTTCATCTTAGTGTACGAGTACGAACATGATAGACTTTTTATGGTTTGCCCCATAAATCTGCCGAACGCAAAAAGTTAATAGGCTACATCCAAAGTTTCATAGTGCGGGTCTCTGCAGCTACCCGAGTCGTAATCGTACACTAACTCCTTACCCGCGTCCAGCCAATAATTGGCGTGATCGACGGCTAAAATTCTTTAATGCCGAACTTTGGAAGCTACCCCAGCGAGTATCATCTCGACAATACACTTGAGGCACTATCCGCATCCTTGGGTCGTATAACTTCGGTCATGAAAGCTGTGAGTACCTATGGCGCGTGGAGTGTGGCAGTGTGGCCAGTGAGGGTAAAACGAATACGAGCCGACCTCAAAAAAGGGATTTAAAGTATCGGTACAAAACCCCTTGAACATCCATCTACAAAGAAGCAGAAATCGAAATCATCTCAGAGTTTACAATTTCAATCAAAGCAGTCATTATGGTTTCTGTGCTGCTTGAGCCCAATTCTGCGTTCATGGACGCTAAAAGCGATGGAGAAAGTGACGAGCTGTAAGCGACCACCAAAGATGCTCCTTCAAAGCTATATTTCTAACTTTGGGTTTTAGGGCACTACCAGTACCCACAAGGAGCAAGATCCAAGCGAGCTTTTTGATCGCACGACCACCACCTAAATCGTCACTTTGCCTGATCCCTAAACTCTTACTACAATTTCAACAACTCACAAACAAAGACCGACCACGTCCAGTCATGGAAATATGGCAGCCATCAATTTGCAAATCGAAATTGACGCGCGATTTCCACCAGCGTCCTAAGTTGAGGTCAGGCGACAGCTATGCAACCTACGACGAGCCCTACACCATCAGTTCGCGTAATCTAGGCAAACAACTTGAAATATCAGGGAAACATCGTGAGAAGCATCCAGCTCTGCACAAGAAAGATCCTGTGGCCGTGATGTGCCATTCAACGCGCGATAAGGCGCAAGCATCGACGATAAGCTTTCGCAATGAGCAATGTACGTGGTGGGTCAGTACACATTCAGCAGGTCATGCAAAGCCCGAAATTCGTTACCGATTTACTATCAAAGATGATCACAGTAGCGAGGGATTGAGCCGGGGTATGAGCATGCAATGGGAGAAGCGGCTTTCCGATGGTGGGGATAGTGCGTTGGTAGAAGACGAATGCAAGTGGGGATATTTCGCGCTCTGCTTCATTGACCACGAAGCACGGCGCAAAAGTCGCATTGCTACCATGACTCAATCAAGATTGGATATCCGGGTTCGTAAGAGCTCTAGCATAGAGTATCTTCAGACGTGTATGGGTTTGACGAGATCACCTGTTAACGGCTGTGAATATTCTGAGAGTTTAGAAGCCCAGTTATACACACATGTTCTTACAATGGGGGCATGGGTTGCCGACCGAGAGGGATGGCTCAATCATCCTTGATAGATAGAATATCAGAGATATCCAGTCTACTTGGCCAAAGCTATACAGTTTGCACTTTAGTGGTGGCGTGTGTGATCTTGGGGGAAACGACGTATGCCCCATCAGCCGAGCCAGTATGTGGTGGCCAATTGAAGCTAGCACTATAGTAACTGGCCCCGGAGGAGTTTGCTCATCCAGGGATTTCTGTCCAGGACACGAGCGACGATAATTGATGTGTCGTATTGTACTTTGATGCAACCAGTGAAGCATTAGAGATATTAGTCGGGGCAGCCCAGTACTCCGCAGTCAGAGACCAATTCGTAATTGGAAAGCTGGAGGCGGCTTTGCGGGCCTAGAATGCACTGTGATTCTTGCTACCAGGGATGCCGGGTCCTCCAGCAGCAACATGGAGGTCGACTAATTGTGAAGAAGTTGCGCTGTACTTGTGCCCGAGAACTGTAGAAGGCACCTGAACGCCCTGGAGAATTGAGTTGGACCGATCTCGTATCTCTCCGTTGAATCCGATTAGTGCTGTCTGATTTGATTCCAGGCGTAGAGGAATAACGATTTTGTCGTCGGCATTGTGATAATTGATGACCGGAATGATATCTCCTGTCCACATGTTACATACATGCGGCCTTTTGTCGCTGGATACTTCGACATGTCCTGAGCTGGCCTCTCGCCTCTCTATCATTGAAGATGAAAGCAAAGTCCATATGCTCATTCAACGATTCACGCCAGGTTGTGTACCATGTACCGTCGGATTGTACTCTGATTTGAGGATCCAGACTCAGAGAGGAGAGCTGATCGGCAATCTCTCCGTTGACGACACTATAGATATTGTCTGTTTCTTTCAACAAGGCAATTGCCCTTGTGAAGTTTTCCTTCTCGCTTGCGGCGCCAGTCATATAGTAGGATGGATCTCCACCGCTCAAAATGACCGGAAATCCGCTCTCTGCAAATGTTCAAAGTTTGTTGATTGAGCCGAGCGTAACATTGGCGGTATTGGGGATAACAAGTGACTTATAGGCAGGGCCGTCTGGGGCAAGAATCCCTTGTCGGACATATGCATGCGGGAGGTCAAAATTGTCAGGCGAAATAGCTGTAGCTGTACCCTGCGAATATTAGTTCCCTTCACGATTGTGTAACCTGTAAGTTTTTATGTCATGCTTACCATTATGAATGATGTCCGTACTATTTGTCAAGCTAGATGCAAATGCGAAATCTGTCGCGGACTTATTATAAACAGCAACGTCCGTTCTCAATTTGCCTGTCTGCTGGCTGTATTGGAGTCTGCCAATATACCCCAGGGCATTCGAGAAACCGTGATTCCATGCAGGCTGTTTATCTGACCACATTTCGGAATAGAAATATGAGAAAGCGGTGTAACCTGGCCATGTTGTTGACCAGTATTTGCCACTGTAAGGTTGACCGTGGATGATAAACTGATTGACTCCCTCGACAACTGCACGATTGCTAGACCATAGCAAATGGGAGATCATATACCGGAACGCCTCCATAGATACTGCATCCATCTCGTTGGAGATGACTCTTTTGCCAGCCTGAACATACTATACTTTCCAAATTGCCACCCATTGACGAAGAGCTGTATCGGAAACAGACCCCGAGCTCTGGGATCATCGACCGCTGAGGTATTCGTAAACACGATACTCGTAGGAATATCATACCCGTAAGGATAATCTAGGTTGAACGTTGTGGCAAAAAGTCCCACACCAGGTTGGGATAGACCATCCCGAGGAGCCCTACGTTGCCATATCTCAAAAGAGGCTCCAGGAAGATGGAAACCCTGCCTCTCAGCAAATGTGGAGCCTTCATTAAGAGGGCCCCGACTGAGTTCAACGGTTTTCTCTCCGTTGAAATTCCCCGTGATCTTCCAAGTGACAGCAGATTTGCTCTGGTAGCCGGAGAGGCTGTAGTCTAAGAGCCCCCGAGGCGCTTTCATCGTTTGCTCATTGACATAAAAGTTCGCGTCCAGTCTCCATATTGTCGACAAGTACAGTGATCACATATGGGGCACCTCTCATTAACTTTCCTAGGAATTTCGGTGTCTGATTCTTTGCTTGTATCGTTGCGCTTCCAGCCCAGGAGCCGAGAAATGTAGAATTGAGCCACACGGAGTGCGCGTAGGCAAAGCCTCCCTGAGTGAACAGGCGAAGAACAGAGTCATCTCAGTTTGCAACAAAATGGCCGCGATAAAGAACCGAGCCAGCATGGTAGCCATAGTCGCTTGCATACAGCGAAGTAGGCGTGGTAAGGTTTCGAGGGTTGTTGAATGTTTTACGATCACACTGTGTCCAGCGACTGTCGTTGTAGGCAAGCCCGAGCTCTGGTAATGAATCGAGTACTCGTCCCAGGTGACAAGCCTTTCTACATCTTCGCTGGGAGATTGTAGTGACAACCGCGGCTGTGTTGAGTTGACTGGAACAGTAGGTAAAGCGAGAAAAGCAAACAAGTGGAACAAGCAAATGAAAATAGCCTTCATACTGTGACTAACAATTGCGAACTTGATAACTGCAGTAATGGGCAGTAACTATAGATCAAGACAAAAGCTGAGTAGGGGCTTTATTGTAAAATAAGACAGGCGTTCTAGAATACATATACCATGGATAAACCACGCCAAGCGCCCTATGGCCAAGCCGAAAATCTGAATTGGAGACCAAAGGTGACAGATAATGATGGAGAACGCAAAACGACTTGTGACTTCATGTGGCCCGCTCAAATAATTACCCACAAGTTAGGATGGAATCATGGAAAAAGGCTAGATCTGAAAAGCCGCCAGAAACTGAGCGCGATCAGAAAGCCCTGTGGAGTCTGTCTATACAGGCCCTAGTATGGCCATGAAAACGGAGTTAAAATAGTAGCTTGACCCATTGTAATACTGTAAGGAGAGTGACATCGCCGGTAAGATCTTAGGGGGTTCGTAAACTGAAAGAAACTTTCGGCACCGTTAGTGTACGAGTACGAATACGATATCCACTTTCCCCCCTAGCTGCCCTTCCGAACAAGATTGATATGACTCGGACCCCGGCACGAAAGATTTGGCAAAATACATCGGAAGGTTTTTGTCTTTGCCTATCGTACAATTGTAGCCGATCTTTCAGTGTGCAGTTTTCCAAACCCATCCTTTCTCCGGGGGTTTGATATGCTGCGCACTGGGATCACAGATCCAATCAACAGCGGGGACGCTTGATAGTCCAACCTCTTGCACGTTTTTGATCAGGTATGGAACAACTGTGTGAAAATTCCTGACTTTGGCCAGCAAAGCGAACAGGTGTTCGCAATTTACCGGTTCTTCTGGCAACGAATACAAAGAATGTCATCTCGCTATGTTTATATGAAATGCAAGCTGAGTTCTTGCTTATTACTGTTGAATAACCTGTAATGGGCCATGGCATACCAGCCTGCTTTATACATTTTCCTGTATAATTCCGTGTTTAGGATGGACAATTGAACACCCTGTCTAGTTGGACATAGTTGCAGCAGGCTCCACTCGCTTCACAACCCATGCGGGATCTCAACAGCAACACTGAACGTTAAGACTCCCTGGACCTCAGTCCATGATTCTGAAGACTGTCGAAATGGAACTGTATCATTATATTGTCATTATGTTGTCAAAACCCTTTGGTTTCACGGAGATTTGTTCCAGCCCTCCTTCTGTATGTAGTCAAATGCATAGATATACCATTTTCAAGAAAAACTAAGAACTTGCTGAGTTGGTATTGGCCACTCCATCAACAACAGATGCAGCAGGTGCAGCACTTGAAGCAGAGAAGCCCGGTGCAACTATGGTTTTAGTCAGCAGACTGACTTCCAGAAGATTAGTGGCAAGGTTCTACTAACACTCCACAGCAAATGTCTGCTCCTTCACCGCCACCACGTAAGTGCAGCTGTTGCATCTGATCGGGGACACTCTAAGCAAATTTAGTCAGCGCCTCCAGGGGGTGAATGGGTGTTGTGATACTTACAGGCTGCTGGTCGATAACTCTTTCTGCCACAGGGGAGGGCGGGCTAGAAAATTTCTGCGTCGTCATGCCCTCAACATAGTGTTGCTGGGCTGCTGCCTCTTGACTTGAGGGCTTGAAAATGTTGAAAAGGCTCTCAAACATGTTGCTGGAGACTGTGATATTATTGATTGTACTCGGTGGAAGAGGTTGCGAAAGTCTAGATAGTTTCAAATTGAAACCGATACTTGGAAAGAGGCAGAAAACGGGAATAAAAGGGTTTCCAATGTGCAAGTTAGTCACCCGCAAATGCGATCCAAACATTGTATATTCTACTATTTTTTGTGTGGAATGGCTGCTAGATGGATGTTGGAACTAGCGGAGACATGCGATTCCGTTCCCGCAATTGAGTACAAAGGGGCCAATTTGCATAGTTGGATGGGTCGATGGATCCGAGATTCACCGTTGTTAGTGTACGAATACGGATGACAGGGAATCGCTATTCGTCAGCCACAAGCTTAGCAAATCCTTTGTTCAGCCCTATCCCTTGCCAGGTGGTGAAAGCAAACCATATTTCCCGCATTTCTGAGAACGCTCAAAGCTCCATTTTCCTATTAGTCTGGCTCAGTTTCGGCGACTTAACTTGGTACTCGCATTAGGAGTTCATTTGGTATATCTGTATCGTACCAGTATATCCAACTGCAGGCGATTCCTGTGCTTAAGTCACCCCTGTAACCCTGTTCATGCCATAACCTAGTCTCAGGCAACAGCAGTTGATGTAACGGGAGCGAAATGACTAGTATACTCAGCCGTCAGATTATGAAAGGAAGTCACCGAATTTAGCGCGGTCGAGGCACTAGCGATATATCATTACAGACAAGTCAACGGGATATGTGATCTTCCGGTACTAACAGTAGCTATATCACACTATGTGATCACAGTATATTTCGTAAAACGACTCATGGTTGTCAGCAATGGCCGGGGAGATTCTATTCACCGTAGAAAAAAAGAAAAAAAGAAAAAAAAAGATAACCAAGCTTCTGGGGCAAGGAAAATCACTTTGTTGACATATTGATGTGACCCGTTCTGGCATTTCATCTTCGGTCTCTCTTCCCACGTCTCACTGCATCAAATTCCCGAATCACGCCGTTGTGGTCAATACCCGCAGTTATGGCCAGTTATGGCCCTCCGTGCCATGAACCTTCCCTCTTTTTCTCGTCCTTCAACAATTTGTTTTCTAGTTCCTAACCGCCCTATGGCTTGAATGCTTTTGCAAATCCCTTGCCTAGGGTAAGTTACCAAGCCCAACATACCTGTAGCACAATTAGTCTGATGTTTCGTTCGTAGAGAAAGGCAAAGCTTTGCATGGAAACGAACCAGATGAAAGTTTGGTCATAGTACCGATCGTCCCCTTGGCTACACCCTTAGCCGCACCTATCGCACCTTCAGCCTGGGCTCCCCTGTATGGTTGAACGACGATATCCGTAAGGCCACCAGCGACACCGTATAAAAAGCCCTTACCAGCAACGGCAACACCGGGCTTCCAGTCCCGTACAGGACCAAGGTCTATTCACATCCTCACCATACAGTCGGGGTACGGCTCGCAATCCCTCAGTTGTTGCCAGCGGGATGTCAACAATCGCCCCCTTATACCCATAGCCCACGAACTTGCCAACGCTCTTCCCACTGGCTGCGAAAGCAGCCCCCATCGTCTGGGCACTTGTTCTTGGGTGCCCAGGTTGATTCGGGGAATATGTCACGTCTCCTACTCCAACAGAACCTGCATCTATCGCTGGAGGGTGCTGAGGCCAAGGTATATCAGGGGTGAAATTCGAGCCCTGAATCTCTGACAAAGGTAGCGAAGACATTATGCGTCGCGATACGCACTCGATGTCCGTATTTCTGCAGTTCATTGCCTAGCGTGAGGAATGGCTGCAGGTCTCCTCGGCTGCCAACCACTTGGATCACGATGTTGAGCCGGATCTCGCCTCGGGCAAAGTCGGGGTAGTTGGCGGATGGTTCAGTTCCTCATTGTCGGGCAGCCGAATGAGCTTGGCTACGGCTTTACATGCCTTTGAATCAAGGTCAACATCAATTCGCCCGTCCTCTTGAAAAATAAGGTTTTGTCAGTTGTCACTTACCATTAACCCCTGTTCCACCTTGCATTTTATGGCTCACCATTAGCCCATAGGGCGGCGGATCGTCCGCGGGATATTGAAAATTCTGATGAGACATGGCGGGTAAATTCTAGTTTATAGGTGGGCGATATGTGCAAGGAACGTGTTACACTTAATGTATAATCCCGGCGAGCTCGGTCTAGTTTAGTCCAAAGTCAAACCCACGCTTATGACGAAGCAGGGTTTCAATGGACCCGATGAATCGGAAAGTGGCAAACTTCTCAGCAGATGGCGATTCTCGTATTCGTATGCATTTTAGCCTTGGAGCCAACAATTGATAGCTAAATTTAATCTGAATCCGATCTCATTAACCCACGGTTAGGATCTCGGCCCACATTTTAGGGATGCTTGTCTTTCCGTTCCCCAAGTCAAACCTGCTTTGGCTTTTCTCAATCAAGTCCCATTCAGACATCCGGTTACATATCGGGCCAAGGCAATGAGTAGTTTCGGTGATGAATCGGCGTGTGTGATTCCAGGCTAGAATCCCTTAAGTGTGATATGGTATTTATAATTAGCCACCAGGTCCACACACTTTACAGTGTCTGCCAGAAAAGTTGAACACACCCATTTCAATGACTGACTAATGGCATAATGTTCAGCCAGCAGGGCGTTGTCCAAAGGCTCCACTCGTTAATCGTATTCGTTCACTAGTAAATAACTTCGCAAACTCTGGTCACAGACCATTAAGTCACTAATCATGCCTTTCTTCAAATAGAGAGCCAAACCCCAAACAAGCTCCATGTTGCTGCTCTACGTATAAGGTAATGATGAATGTTGGCCACGCTGTATATCTCTTACTTTATATTCTCCACACATCGTGCGTGTTTGCCAAGGATTGGTCGTCGTTGGCTTTTCAAGTTGACAGATCAACATCACGCACGTTGACTGACAGCAAGGGTAACCCTGTCTTCTGGCAAGCTGATACCGCATGGGAGATATTCCATCGTCTGAACTGCCCAGAAGTCGAGTATTACTTGGCTGATCGCGCTGCCAAAAATTTCAATGTTATCTACGGCACGATTCTCGCGGAAGAGGATGGCCTCACTGTGCCCAACCAGAATGGGGATCTTCCATTCATAGACTACGACCCCACAAAGCCCAATGAACCCTACTTTGAGTGGATTGATACGGTAATCGAAATGTCTGGAAAGTATGGGATCACAATCGCACTAGCACCGACATGGGGAAGATGGGTCAATGAAGGCTGGCATGGGTCACCAGTGGTGCTGAACACGTCCAATGCAGCCGAATTCGGAAACTACGTTGGACAGAGATACGCTGGCCTTCCAAAGATAATTGGCGGTGATAGTAACAGGTACGTAAAGTTGTCGCCCCCACTCAGCGTTGTTGGAGATGAAGGGTCACTAATAGTGTCACAGATGGTGGTTTCATAAGCAGGGAATACCCTCGCAAGCAAAGGACAAACCTTTGAAGATCATCGATTCAGGGCCCGTATTTAATGAGCTTGCGCATGCCATCCACGACGCCGAAGCACGCGTGCTCCGAGGCCACGGTATCCACCCTTTCATGACCTACCATGGAACAAACGTGTGGTTTTCGGCTTTCCCAGATAGCACAGCTTCGGCCATGTATGGCAATCAAACATGGTTGTCAATGGATGGCGTGCAGACGGGCCACAGCGACATCAATAGTTCCCAGGTATGTATGCGCCACTAAACCTCTCTTCCTGGAAGAAACACTAATCTCCCGCAAGTCAAATTCCTTCTACGGTTTGGACTATATGCATCAATGGGTACCCATAGCGAACCAAGTCGCGGTCAAGGAAATGTATAACAGAACGCCAGTCCGTCCCGTCATGGACCTGGAGAATCACTACGAGTACTGGAACTCTTCTATCAGCATAAATGAGGATGGCAGCTATCGTTGGAACTCGTCCTTTGTCCGCAATGGTGCATGGCATGCTCTCTATGCCGGTAGTGCCGGCATCACTTATGGCGAACAAGCTGTCTGGCGGTTTGCCAATCCAGCACGATTCAATGCCGCGGTCGGTCTCAATGAGACATGGTTGAAAGGTATGGAAAGACCTGCAAGCGGGCAGATGAAATATTTGAGGTCATTCGTGGAGCAGCATCTAGGCACGCATCGGCTTCCCGACCAAAGCCTCCTCACGACTTCTCCTAGAACCGAATATGCTGAAGTTATGGCAATGCGAAATCGCTGGTCGAATTGGGTTACAGTATTTGCGCCCATGGGCCGAAGCTTTGGCTTGAATACGGGAATCCTCAGCGGCAGGGGTGATCTGCAGGCCTGGTGGTTTGCCCCTAATAACGGATCATACTTTCCCCTGGATCAAGTTACGCGGGGATTGAATCTGACATTTACCCCTCCAACTGGGGGGACAATTGACAACGACTGGGTGTTGCTAGTGAAAGGCGGCTGAGGTTTACCTGACGTTAGCAAGGTAGTATACGGGGTTGGCCTGCTTGTGGTTATATACTGAGAGATGATCATGAGGCACCTATCCTTTTACTGTGTTGCTTTATTTATCTTTCCGTCTTCTCCATTTTCCATGTCAAGATGGCAGCTTTTTCCTTGCATGTAACTCCAAGTGAGCGGCACAGCCCAATCACACAAAGTAAATACGACAAAATACGAACTCGTTTTCAATACAAAATGATTGAGACCGGGGCCTTATCAAAGCCGTGACGTCTTTTTTTGAAAGTAGTCGTACATATTCAAAGCAGTCAAACGTTCAGTGACTTAACGATACATATTAGTGGCAGTTGCTGTGGATTTTTTTGTAGCGTGATCATTTGCTTCTCGGCAAAATTTCAACATATGAGTACTATTCAGAATCAGTCTACTAAGGACTACATCGATAAGGAGCATAAAACACAGAAAAACCATTATATCTAATATGAGTTTGCGTTTGAGAGCATTAGCTCACCCACGCTCGAATGTCCGTGCTGCCGATATAGGCAGGGAAGTGCCGTGGATCTCACTCGGGTACTAGTTGAAATGCTGGACCACAGAGCAAATCAGCAAATGATCATCACACCTACCTGTGAGCAGATGACATGTTCTGTTCAATAAAAGCCGGGTGATATTAGTATTGTAGTCAGTCGGAGGACTCGTTCGACAAGCGGAAATCCGTCTTTCCATCATGAGCTATTGAGAATTCTCCCTGCAAATGGATATTTATGATACTTTTGCCAATCATGACCCCGTATGTGCCCCGTGGGAGCACCCATTGTTATGTCTGAACATCCCATTGACTTAGGTCTCGACGAGTGAGGTCAAAGTGCATATCTCAACTTTTGCCGGGGCCAATGATTTTCTTGTCAAATCCCCGTAGTACTCTTTTCGTCCCACCTGCAGGATTGTGAAAGTACATGTGGGCAACCTCTGCAGCGCTTACTGGACCGGTGTTGGTTATTGTGCAGCTTACAGTTGCCAAGACGTCCCAAAGTGATTCTAGCCCCCCTTGGGGATTTGGAGCGGTCGAATTGTAGGATTCGTACTCTGGTGAAAGGTACGACGTCTCCACCCGATCTGGAGTTCGAAGTTTGAGATTCTGGTAATCGAACGTCGAGTATGCCAAGCCGTAGCCAAACTCGTACCGTGGTATGATCTGGTTGACCATGAAAGAGAAGTTGGATTGGGTATAGTAAAAACTGGAGTTATCTGGGAATACTGGACCAAGTAGTTCGCCATATTGGGTTGCATTCTTTGTGACGGTGTAAGGTGATCTCCACCAAAGCAGAACCAGAGTCTTGGCCAGGGAGGTGGGGCAAAAATCACCGCTGTAATATTTGGGTGTTCAATCCACGCATCGATCAGGCGGACTCCGGCATTGTGAATAACAACCATCGTGTTGTTGCATTTCCCAGCAACATTGGCGATGAGCGTATCAGAGTAGCTATTCGCAAGATTTGGCCTGTCCCATCCCTCAGAAGATTGTTTATTCGCAAATACAACACAGGCGTCACTTGCTGCATTCACCCCAGGATCTTGGGAATGGAAATCCTAGGACAGAAATGTGCCATCCTGCTTTGCTCTGCGTTGAAAGGCGTTGTCCAGGTGGAATAGATTTCAGAAGATAATGTTGAAGTCAAGACTCTATGTCACCCGAACACCAAGAAGGTCGTGATGTTTGTGCTCGCCACTTCGCCATTCCTTGCTCAACCTAGAATCATACCAGAAACGTTTCGAGTGGTCGCATGGGTATCTTGGAAGATCTGGTAGGGTACGACCCTAAGGAATCACTTTACCCAAATCAAGAGTTACATTGAGCAAATAGGGAGTTTCGATAGCTGTCAAACATGACTCCACGTCGTGTTGATCGCGGGTCAGAGAAGACAAATAGGGAGACGAGGTGAAGTAGTGGGTATTCCATGGCATGGTCGGCTCTTTCGGGCTGCCGTCTCCCGGGGCGTGGTTCGCTCGATATCTTTAGGGCGGTCATCTCCCGTGACGTGGTCGGCGTCTTTAGGGCAGCCGTCTCCTGTGGCTTGATCGGCCTTTTCGCTGGACCCACTGCCTCTTTGGAGTGGTGTTCGTCACCTGGCCCTGGGACTCTGCCACAGATGCGAGGTGGAAAAGCATTATCTTAACGATGGGGTAGCATCCCCCTCTGCATGGCTTGTTGCCCCCTCCGCAACTGGTGAGTACTTAAGGTACAATATGCTCCCGGTCGTGGCCTGTCGCAGGAACACGGTTTCTTCATAGTTTGAGAGCCAGCCGTACTTGACTTTAAGGTCGTACATGTACTCTGCCGGCTGTCCGAGTAGTTCCCTGGTCATATTCTGCGCCACAAAACCCCTGGACAACCTGTGCTCAGGCACCCAAGGAACCTTGAGTTATCCTACGGCCTTTAAACCAAGGCTGCCAGTGCTGCTTTAAAATCGCTAAAGCCGATGTTGACCGACTGGGCCTCCAGAGCCGCTCTAACAACCTGCCCCACGGATTGTTAGAAGCGGCCCTGGAGACCATTTTCGTCGCTAACGAGCACCTTCTCCTCTTATAGGTCTCTTGTCAAGAGCGTGTATGCGACAACTTTATTCGACCATTTCTGGGCCGTAATCGTTGAGAGCACCTCATCAAAAAAGCCCTCCCATTATCACATGGGCCTAACGAACCTGACCTTATGCAAGGCAGACGAGTGGGTGTGGTTTGGTCCTAAGAGGAGACACGGAAGAGCGGCGCTGGCAGTATCTCTGGCGCGTTATTGTCCCATGATGGTTAATACTTTCTGAATTGTTAATATATTTCATAAGGATTCTGAAGTCTCACTTGCTTGGAAAAAGAATTGATTGAAACGATTTCTACCAGGGAAGCGGGAATCAAGAATGCAGAGAGAATACAGAGAGGGAGCACGCTAGCTACTGTGGAAGCAGGCCTATCACCAGAGGGCGGCCTCTGCATGCCTTCCATTTTGGGCAAATCTCCGGTCATAATCCCAGAGATACAAATTCATCTTTCGCAAACCTCACACGTGTATTTTTATTCTCGACGAAAATCATAAAATCACCCATGGTCAATATAAACCGACCAGCAGGAGTCATTGCGGTCTCACTAGCTCATTTAGAATGTTGAGTTTATCATCAGCATCGATATAAATAACACACGTGCCTTAAAACTTGTCAAGGTGAGATCCATACACGTAGGCCGCATGTGACTCGTGGCATATCTACGGATCAATGGATTACACAGGATAAAATACTGCCGATTAATTCACACAAGCTTGGGAGCAGCGCGCACGCGCGGCCCAGGATGAACTTTAGTAGCTTGAAAGATATAGTGAATAAAGATATAACAAAGGTGTTGGAGTCAGGGCTTGTAACTTGCCAGAGGAGCACAGGAAGGAAAATAAATATGTTGTCTTGCATTCAGTGGCATGAAGGAGAGAAGAGGCCATGGAGAGCTAGGGAAGAGAGAGATGGGCGAAAGCCCTAAGAGGGGAAGCATGTGACCACTATCCTGCGGACCTGTCTGACAGAAGGATAATAATTGACTCGGTAAAGCCGGACGTTTAGAACTCTGGAGGGTGAGTGAATAGCGGGCCTCGAGCCTAAGTTGGCTATCCTCGGAAGCTTATAAATGTGCGGAACTGAATGTCTATGAATCTCTCCTTTATATAACTATAATATTTCCAAGATTATATATAAATACATGGAAGATTCTGATCAGATAAGATTAATGTATTCAAAATTAGTGTGTTATTATTATGACCATGTCCACATGTAGTCCTAAAATAGACACTCATCAACACAATGCCAGGTCATGTTCTATCCAGGACACGTCCCATCAGTCACGAAGACAAAACCTCTAGAAGAAATACCATCCCCCTCTAAGCCCGCAACTCCGCAACTCTACATGTACTCATCACACCATCCTGGACACGTTTGTGCTAGCCCATGATTGGATTTTGTAGTGCATATGTAGAATTACAAATTCTGATATAATATCAATTAATGGAACTGTATATTACTGGCTACTTGAACAATGGTATAAAATAAAAATTGGTCTACTCGAAAAATCCACTCTAAGCCATACGTCGATAAGTAAAGAGGTGACATAATGACAAGGTGGTTCCGAATGTCGGGGTTGTTTGCATGTTTTATATTACCCATAGCTGACGAGCTCTTTCTTCCTTTTTTTGTGTTCTCTCTCACCTGGGCAACTTTATCAACGTCTCGCTACCGCGTCCATTCTCCTCTCAAGCCCTCTCTTTCTATCAGTTCACTCCAATCGCATCATGGCAACATCATTAATCCCTAACCTATCATGTCTAACTCTTCTAACTCTGGTCAAGTCCTCTCTAGCCTCGAGGGCACACAAATTACCATGAACTCTCCGCCCCAACCCCCGATTAACTTCATGCCTGAGACCTGGGAGATAGTCGAAGAGATTGAAGAGGATACCGTGACCCAGTCGGAGCAAAATTTCATTGATGGTCAGGGTCCTGCATACGTTGCTGGAAGGTTTTTGTGTCGCCCCTCCGGTGCGCAAGGGCCCTTCGCGTTCTTGCGTATCTACCAGCAGATACCCTGGCTTGGAACAGAATTGCGAAAGGCTTCAGTCCGAGCTGCCCAGGCTACCGGACCTTTCGAGCCCCCAGAGCTCCAAGCCCTGAAGCACTTCAAGCAGCAAGGCTGTAACGTTATTCCCGAGCTTCTTGCATATCAGTTTGAGAAGCAGGATAAGGAAGATATCATACCGGGCGGATTTGTCACATATGTGATATGGAAGAAGGTGCCTGGCGAGCCCTTGGATTTCACCCGGTTCTGGAATTGCACTTTCTCGGAGCGGCAAAACATTCGCGTCAAGTTCCGACATATTTACGAGTACGTTGCCTACGCGATTGCCAAAGTACCTAGGGCTGACATGAACTGGGGTGCTTTTGCCGTTTGACTACCAATCCTTGATACCCACTTGCACTAAAATCATATACGAATGGTCTACCGGAGAGATGTACGTGTGATTCTTGCTCTCTGGTTATCCTCGGTGGTGATGAGATAGCCGACTGGTTCATTTCAGGCACATATCCGGCTTCAAAGATGCGACCAACCGCTTTCTTAATAAGGTTTGGAGCGACACTCACTATGTCGCGCACGATCTTGTTTTAGCAAATCCGTCCATCCTATCGTATTTCCCCATTGAGAGCATCGACTTGTACCGAGACGACAATGGCTGGGAATGGTAGATAGATCAATCCTCTTCTCTTAAGTCATCTTTCTGGATTTTCATTCGAGTTGATGGTGGGTTACATGATAGTCCACCACTAGTTCAGAAATAGCTTATCACGATAACTGCACCTTGGCCCCTTCGTCGGCTTGGGGGACTATATTGTTACCTGTCATATCTGCAGCCCATCAAATATACCTAAGTAGGGCCTTTGTTTTGCGAAAATCGCTACTCTTGCGTTGTCATGAGGTCAAACTTTCATCCTACTCCGTGGGGCTAATCGATCTCAGCGTTAAGATGTCATTTGCACGTCTCATCAACTCTCATCTATTTTTGTCGAGCTGGGTATGGGTTAGTGGATTTATAAGTAGTATAACTATGGGTTTGATGAATCTTAAGAAACACCAAACGTTGATTGGCAGAACCTAAAGTTTGGTTGCTTAACGATTGGGTATTTTGTAACAGCCTGGTGGAGACTGGCTCCAAGAAACCATCTGCCTTTGCCGTTTTGGTCTTAAGGGCGCAGTGAGGATTGCTGTGTAGAGAACAAAAATAAAAACATACAACAGTGAGGATTCGCTGGTGGTCACCCACCCAACTACTAACTCACCGGCGTGTGGCTTAAGTACGGCTGAGCGGACGGGAAGCCCTGTTTTCCACACCCTATGGTCGTATGTATTATTTCAAATGTTGAAATAAATTATAGAGTACATCAGCTTAGTACATTGAAGTATCTTCCCATTGCACTTTTCGGCTACCCTCATCAAATATATATATCTGGTTTACACAGCACTGCATAACCAAATAATAAGCTAATTAAGTCCAGTAAAAAGATATATCACTAATTGATAACCGCATAATTGATTTCTCGCCTAACATCTTGTATTATACCCTTTAGCCCTACGCACTGCTGCAGCCTACGGATTTAACCAAAACCATTAGATAGTTTTAACTGCAAAATCCCATTCTTATGGCTAGATATTATAGCTAATATTTGTACTGGGCTTAATTTAGCCAATTTATACGCCCAGGGTCAAGTTCCATTGGAATTAGACGACCAAGGGAGGCGTAGTAACAAGTGGATAGAAAGTATGTGATTAGCCGCAAATCGCAGCGTGTGTGCGAAAAGCGAATTTTCATGTATAAAAAAAGGTTATATTGTATTTATATCCAACATCTATGGCGGAACTTGGTGACACCATTGAATGAATTCATTCAAATTCCCCAAGTCATCAGTAGCAGTGTTATCCATATACCGAAGGCTGACATCAGGTCTGCCAGTAGCATCCACCGTCGCATTCAACAACCACCACAGCTCCTGAGCATGTTTCGGATACCCAAGATGAAGCAATTGATCCTTGTCTAGGAGACCAATGACAGAATCCCAGATCCGCCTCCAATTCCCAGACGCACAGCGTATTCTATCGAGCGATAAATATCTTAACAAGCCCGATCTTGCCTGGAAGGCGAGGGAGTTAATTGCTGTTGTGGGTATTTCTTTTAGCAATTCAATCGACTTCCTGAGTTCGGTCGTCAACATACCATAAATCAGAATCAGGAGATGCTCCACTGATACCGAAAGACCCCATGGTATTGGGTCATTACCTAGAGGAGTTTCAAGTAATTGTGTGACCACGTCTTTCAGGGGCGGAAGTGGGAGCTCCGTTGAGTACGACATGGCAATCCTGCTGAAAGAAGATGCACTTTCGGCTTCCCATAACTTGGCACTCCAGGGGAAATCACAGTCCATCTCAAAAACCGATATAGATGGGTGGTTTTTGAAGCAGACTGTGAGGAATCCATCGGCTAGAAAGACCCAACAAGCGATTCTTGGAGCTGGTTAGTGACACCGGGAAGAAAAGACATGATAAGAAAAAATTTGGGGAGATAAAGTACCGTATGCACACTTCCTCTGCTACTAAATTTCTCCAAGTTCTATCTTCACAAACGGTGGGAGCACTTCCTCGCTTGAGCTGAAAAATGCCTAGGGATCGTATGGTGGATACCAAACACGGATGTCGAACTATGCGAATGCGACGCCTTGTTTGCATATTATCTTGTCCAAATTGAAGCATCTCGATAATAAGAGCACTCTGTATTAGCTGTACACTTGATAGTAGATGCGATTGGTCTTTCGGCAAAGCGAGTGGTGATAGATCCACAATTTTTCGAAATATATACTCTTCTGCGACGTCCAAGAGACCGGAGGGGAGGGTCCCTCCATCCAATGGAATAGTGTATGTGGCACCGGATAAAAATATTGAGAGTAAAAGAGAATTGGAGATGTTTCCTGGGTCGAAGGTTGGAAAATGCACCACCGGTAGATGCCAGTGAAGAGAGTGGAAGAACGCAGAGATAGAAGCAGAGATATTGGAAACTCCTAAAAGAGTAGAAAGTTCCATAAAATCAAGCGGGCTTAGCATTCCTGTGCCTCCGAGGCCCATTGACTTTGAAGTCTCGACCAACTCCGTCATAATCTCGGATAATTGGTTGGAAAGCTTCGAAGGGAAGAGCGTACCAGGGGAGCACTGAAGTAAATCATCTGTAAAAAAGGGCAGAGTCGAGGGTACTTGGAAAGGGAAACTTGTAAGTTGAAAATCTTCATCTAAAGCGGATATGGGATCAGTGGGAACGAGGGCATCTTCGATATGGGAATTGAGTGTCTCAAGATTTCTTCGAACAGAACACTTTGCAGTCTCCCCGATCGCCAGCCTGTCCTCCTGGAAAGATGGATTGGCAAAATGTCGGAGAAAAGAAAATGATCCACTGTCTCTCGAGCTGACTCGGGATGTGACTATAGAAGGCGAGAGTGAGGCTACTGCAGAGCAACTGGGATCCCGGGACGGTATCTCTTGGGCCACGAAGGTGCATTGTCGTCCAAGGGAGCGACAGCGAGAGCATGGTCGATTCCGGTCACAAGATGCCTTGGCAAAGAAGCAGAGCTCACAAGAATGCCTTTTCCTGCCTGGCTTGGCTGCAGGAGGTGCAGGTTGGTTGAACTTTTTTGCGCAGGTTTTGATATGTCTTCGTGTGACCTCACTTTCGACGCATTAGGTTATGTTCATTATTTATGGTGAATTACATTACACACGGCTTTAGAAATGCTTTTCTGCACAAAGGGCAGCTGGACGAGAGCTGCTGTGTATCTGGAGGTGGTCAGCCTATTCATATTTTAAATTCGGGATTATTGAATCTTACGAGTCACTTGATGACGAATTAAATGAGTCTTCCTCTGATAGGCCTTATCGCATAGGGTACATTGAAACATGACGTTGAAAGCAGCCTTTGTTTTGTCACAACAGCTGAGTGAGAAGAAAAAGGAAAGGGGGGGCGGCGACGAAGGTCGGAGCGTGGTCGGCGCGTGGACGAATGCTATCGGTGCGTGGCCGGATACTTGACACATCGAAAAGCTTCAATGCTAGATTTAATTCTAAAGTCACAAAAGTTTAAATAAATCCAAATAAAATAGGCAGCTGCTCTAAATAAGGTCTCCAGTGGGAACCTCGAAATTGATCATTTATTCTAGCAATGTAGGTGTGAGTACGAACGAAGTACTTCGTGCGGAGTGCGCATACGGAGTACAGCCCTATATTGTAAGCCTTCAACAAACCACAAAGCACAATTGGGCCCGGGCTTGGGTCATACCATGCTGGCTAGAGTCTGCAAGGGCAAATGATAAACCGCACTAAAAATCTTGCATACTGTGATGTGCTAACGAAACACTTCCTCCTGGCGGGCCGGGCCACCGGGGAAATATCGCGGATCTTATATTTATGATCAACGTGTTTCAAACGTGGAGGGTGCCTTAGTTCTCGTGGTTTTATATATAGCATACAGATGAAATGGTATTTGTAAATGGCGCGGACATTGATGAAAACTGAACGGCCAAAGGAGGGAGATTTTAAGCGCTGGTTCCCGACCTAGTCATTTTCCTAATGCCATTAAAGTAAGCTGGTTTTTTGGGGATATTGAGCAAGCAAATGAACCGAACTATCCGAACCCCTGGCGTGCACGGGACCTGAGTGCATCGCATTCGACATAAGTGGAGCAATACAAAATCCTTCAATATGAAGGTATCATATCCACTAGTCGGGAAACTCTTCTGCGCTCGAGCACACGATGTCTATAATTAGTTATCCATAGATATACCCACGATATTTGCAAGAAGGCACACGAAAGAGCTATAACACCTCCATGGGACAAAGCCTAGAACCAAAGGCAACCGCATGCACGAAAGACTGTAGATCTCGTTCCGCATGGGGAAATAGACGTTGTGGGGTCATAAGATCGACAGGATCGAAAAGATCGAAAAGGCGGTGGGGCTCACATCTCTAGCGCAACCAAGGTCAAGCCACTCAATGGCTCATGAACCATGAAGTACGAAGTACTGTGGAATTTAGTAATGCTTGTGCAATACCTCGGCGCCCGAGGATGCGATGTAGTGTACGGAGTACAGAGTATTCTGTCCTGGAAAGAAAAAGCGGTTAGGATTGATTGGCTTCGAATAGGCTCGAAATGCAGTGTACCTGACTAGAGACCCTTGCACTCCGATAGCCGGGGTTCTGCATTAGGTAGGAGGCACATGATGACTGGTCCACTGGGGATACGAGAGACTCGAATTTAGTTGAACAGGCATTTTGCTGGTCTGATTGAGGATTAGTCGGCTTACTCCGCCAAATAGCCCTATATTGAAACTGGCACCTTGCTTGGACTAGCCCCTGAACTGAGATATCAGGATAAAGACTGCTTGAGATACGTTGTGCATACGGGGATGTGTGGCTGGACTAGTTCGGACTAGGCTCCGAACGGGAGCAATTAAATAAGACGCTACTGCAATTAGCGACCCGGGAGCGATGTGATAGGTCTAGCATAAGGTTTGAATATCAGGTTTGGTTCATTGACCAACTTGTCAAAAATAAAAAAGAGGCAAACTAGACGTAGGGGACCAATCAGGAACTTATTTACAAGCAAAATGGGCTGGGCTGGTCTTGACTTCTCACTTGGCGTTCTTTTCTGGGCTAGGCAATAGTTTGTGATGTAGATCGACGTTACCTCCCCTATTTTTAAGATTGCTATGATGGCTGGTTGATGAGGTTGCACATATAAGGCCGCCTTCCTCTCTGAGTGATTCCTGTTCCTCATCTCTTCGTTGTTAGTTTTTTGATCACTCGTTTTTGCTGGTTTCATTCAGCGTCCATTCTTTATTTCACTCTATATATACTTCCAATTCGCAACGATGAAGCAATCTATGATAGCTTCCCTCGCAGCTCTCGCAGCCTCAACCTCAGTAAGAAAATCCTCGCCGTTGATTGCTGTTGCAGTTGGGTATAGGGTTAACGTATTATGTCATTCTATAGGGAGTTCACGCCGCTGATAGCTTGATTAACGTGCCCGTTAATCTCTGCGCAGCCATCCTGGGACAAGCCGCATGCGACCAGAAGACCGTCACCAATGGTCTGATCAGCGTGCCTGTGAACGCATGTGTGGCAGTCCTCGGACAGGCCAAGTGCGACCAGGTCTCTTCCTCCTTGACTAGACGCGGCGGTTCCCTGATTAGTGTGCCCGTTAATCTTTGTGCAGCCATTCTTGGAGAGGCGGAATGCAAGCAGAAGACCGCTAGCGCTGGCGGCCTGATCGACGTGCCTGTTAATGCATGTGCGGCAGTGCTTGGACAGGCCAAGTGTGACCAGGTCGCTTCCACCACCGACAGCGGCGAGGGTTCCTTGATCAGCGTGCCTGTTAACCTCTGCGCAGCCATCCTTGGAGAGGCCGAATGCAAGCAGAAGGCCGCCACCACTGGTGGCTTGATCGATGTGCCTGTTAACGCGTGCGTGGCAGTTCTTGGACAGGCCAAGTGTGACCAGGTCACTTCTACTGTTACCGGTGGCGGTAGTGATAGTGGTAGTGACAGTGGTAGCGACGGCGGCAGCGGTGATGGTTCCCTAATTAGCGTCCCCGTTGGACTTTGCGCAGCCATCCTTGGAGAGGCCGAATGCCAGCAGCAGACTGCCACTCCTGGCGGCTTGATCAACGTTCCCGTTAACACCTGTCTTGCAGTCCTTGGAAAAGCCAAGTGTGACCAGGCCTCTTCTTCCGGCAGCGGCGAGGGTTCTTTGATCAATGTCCCCATCAACATTTGCCTGGCTGTCCTCGGCGAGGCTCACTGCCACCAGAGCTCCAACCCTAACGGTGGTCTGATCAACATCCCCATCGACCTGTGCTTGGCTGTGTTGGGCGAGGCTGAGTGCCATGATGGATCATCCACACCTCCGGCTGTGACCACCACCCCCACTATCCCCGTTGTTGTTCCCGGCGAGACTACCCCCGCTGTCCCCGTTGTTGTTCCCGGTCAGACCACCCCCGCTGTCCCTGTTGTTGTTCCCGGTCAGACCACCCCCGCTGTCCCCGTTGTTGTTCCCGGTGAGACTGCCACTCCTGCCGTCCCTGGTGTCGTCCCCGGTGAGACTGCCACTCCTGCCGTCCCTGGTGTCGTCCCCGGTGTTGTTCCCGGCAACTCTTCCGTCCCTGGCGCCGAGGCTTCTACCACCCCGGTCGGAACTAGCCCTGGAGGACCTGACTCTGGTTTGCCCTCCGGTGGTGCCTCCACTTCTGGTCCTGGATCACCTGCATACAGCCATGTTCCTTCCCTCACAGTTGGACGTCCATCCACCACCGGCGCTTTCACCCGTGTCACTCCTAGCTTCACCAATGTTGTCACCGTCTGCAATGCTGCCTGCCACGCATCTAAGACCTCCGCCGGCCTTGTGGCTCACACTTCTCCTGCTTCCGGTGGCAACGGCGGTCAGGCTGCCCCCATCGCCACTCCCAGCACCATTCCATTCAACGCGGCTGCCCGCGCGACTCTGTCCGGCGTCGGCATGGTATTCGGAGCTCTTTGCGCGATTGCTATGCAGATCTAAGTTGATATATCAACAAAGGTGGTAGCTATTAGGGACAGTTGGTGATGTTCGGTGTTGAGATTCATGTTTCCTGTTGCATTGGACATATCAGTCAGTCAGTTTTTTTTCTTCATCTATGTTCAATGGTTTAAATCAACATGCGTTAATATAATTCCACGATATACGTCTCTCAATCCAGCCTGTTCTCGCGGCTAAGGCTGTCCATGTCCATATGACGAATTCATTGGTTGTACCAATCTGACGGAGGATGTATTGTGATCTGATTTTTATTTTCCCTTCAATAGTATATCGCTCGTTCTCCGTTAATATCTTCCGCAAGATATTGGAAGGGTATACATAACACACGCGAATGCCTCAAATCTATGATTAAATGTATTAGTGGCATAATGGGCGTGGCTCACACTGACTGCCATGGCAGTCCAGTTACGGAAAATTTCTTGATGCATCATTCACCTACCAACCTATTTTCCTTTTTTTGGGTAGTCATCGAAAAGCAAATAAACAACGCATTGAACAGTGTCAATAATCAATAATTTCTCAGATCCAATAATAGGCCATATGATAGATCACACGCCAAGTCTTCAGGCCGCACAATCTTGGTTAGCGTTCGTTCGATTTGAACCAATTGTAATATTCGCACATCGCCCAAATGGAAATTCAGTGGAGTGCTGCTCCGTAGTTCCAAATGCATTGCATGCATGGAATTGAGCGAATTACCCCGTTTGATTTTCTATCCCTTTCATCTGGCATTAGTCCAATTCATTATCACCGCAAATAAATTGATCTTTATCGATTCAATGCCTAAAGCTGAATAAAAAGAATATGTGAGGTGTGAAGAGGTTAGGACTCCCACGGTTGGTTAGTGTCATCAGTCCGACATTAGCTTCCGCTCTGTTTATAGCTTACACCAGCATCTTTCTATAACATCAACAATAATTGTCCTTGGAGAATATAGCAGGGAACGAAAAAGTTGAAATGGAAAAATGGCAAAAAATTCCTCTGACCCGGGATCGAACCAGGGACCTCAAGATGACAAGTTCTAATGAACAGGCAATTACAGTCTTGCGCTCTTCCAGCTGAGCTATCAGAGGTGATTATTGAGCGATTGGCAGCTTTTAGAAAATATAAGCAAAATGGATACCTAGAAGCTGCCTCGATTTGAAGCTTGGGGAGAGCCTTTTTTGAGACACCAGCTCAACAATAACCTTCTCATTATCAATAGAAAGGCAATCCAAGAATGTCTAAAGGATGAGATCACGAGTTCAAGTGTCAACCACTTTTTCAGTCAGGGTGATAGCAAGTCACGTGTCAATGTAACATGGTAAGGATCAACAGCCACATGAACGACCTGCTTCCCAACCATGTGAGGATTATGGAAACAGTTGGGATTCTCATCGAATCGGTCTTTCTATCCTTCTCAATCTCTAGTGTTCCCCCGTGACCCGTTATTGCGAAGACCCGGCCCAACCTCGCCAACCAATTTCACGGAATAGTCTTTATTTTATGTCTTCGACCTTCCTGAGACTCAGTTGGTCGCGCTAAGAGTGGGGTTTTTAACTTCAACTCAGGTCATCGGCAGAAAATCAACCATCCGAGAACTTTCCGGTTAAATATTAGGTACCCTGGTACTTGTACCTTTTGATGTGTCCCGAAACACATGAAACCATGCATGGCGAAGAACAACCAATCCGAAAAATCAGATCGCAACATTCGAATTCGCGCTCAGGATGCATAACGTGCAAGTGAGTCACCCAAAGACAACTAGTCACCTGTCAACTAAACATTGGAAAGGATCCGACATAAAAAGTGTGACGAAACTCGGCCAGCGTGTCTCAACTGTACAAGCTCAGACAGGCAGTGCAGTGGTTACCTGCAAGTAATCGACAAGAGGACGCGAGCATGGCGTCAATCCGGAGCCAGTGATCTCGCCAATGACCAGAAAAAAACAGCTCTACAAACCAGACATGGTCTAACAGTTTCCCGATTTGTCGCTGCTGTTCCTATTCCTTTGGGCAGTGCCTACCAGGCCGATCTCACTTGGGGCGAGCGATGGCATTTGGATTTCTACCGTAAACGCACGGCGGTTCGATGTTCTCAATACTTTCAAAACTCATTCTGGGATGGTTTAGTTCTTCAGATTTGCGAACAGCATCCTGCGGTCCGCCATGCTGCGATTGCTATTAGTGCACATCATTATCAGCTTGAACAAGTTCAACAGAGCCATGATCAAAATCGAGGAAGTCTTCTAGCTCTTCATCATTCTACACAAGCGATAACCTACCTTCGAGAAAGTCTCGCTCGGGAACTATTATCCCGGGACAAGTCAAGCCGAACACACAAACAAATAGTGCTCGTCGCTTGTGTCATTTTGACCACCCTTTCTCTGTTCCAAGGCGATATATCTGCTTCTCGTTATCATCTTGTTTCCGGATATAAACTTTTCAAGGAATGGGACGTCCACAAAGATGAAGGGTCCACTGGCCTGGCACTCAGACAGTTGTTTGCTCAGATCCACGTCCATTGGTCTATTTGCAATTATCCCGAGCTATTTGCGGAGGATCCCGAACTCTTTCATGACGAGCATTGGGTCTCTCCGAACACTACAGTCGCTCCACCAAAAATTGTGACTCTGCCTTCTTCTGGTATCGACCAAATGAACCGTGTTGAGCAATTTGTGGTGGCTGTTACGGGTTTGATCCTTGAAGCTTCTCCTTGTGGATGTAACATCAAGCCCGCAAGCTCTATTGGCCGAGGCGCAGCCATGGCGTTGAGTAAGCTTCGACTCTGGAGAAGTCGTCTTATGTCTTCTCTAGTCGAGGCGGACAGTCTATCGCCGGATGACTGTGATGCGCTTAAACTCATCGCATTATGGGGCGGGATCATCGATATCAAGCTGGCTGTGGCCTCGAGTCACAACCCAAATGAGATGGTATACGATGACTATTTGGACCGGTTCCAGCGTATTATAAAATTGGCCCATGCTGTGGCAGGGTCGGGCTCCAATGATGTCCCATTATCGCTGTTTGTCTACAGGGCCTCTGTCCTGCCTGCCCTTTTATGGTCTGGGGCCAAATGTCGTGATTGGCTAGTCCGTCGTGACATATGTTCCTTATTAGATGAGTGGACAGGAAAAGACTACTGGATATCTGCGACAACTCTCTCCTTCGAAAGATTGTTCGATGTGGAGTCAAAGGGGGTGAAGCAAGGTGATATCATCCCTGAAGCTGCTCGGACCGACTTTGTCGACGTAAAGATCCGACCCGAGGAATCCCTAGTTGAACTGCGGTATCACCGGCCTCGGTATATGTTGCACTTAGAGAATGACTGTGTTAGATGGGAGAGCGAGTCAATGTATTATTAACACCCCACAGGATAAATCCATAGTCCAACTGGCGCCAATTCGGCGACTGTTCTTACAAAATTGAAAGCCCAAGGCAAAATTCCGCCGCGGCGAAAGGTTTTCGGTCCACCCCATTTCTACCGTCTGACGAATATTTTTTAGAAAGCTACATGTTAGTTCTGTCTTTTATCCAATGATCCAAACCAGCGTAAAAGTCTTCCCGTGTCTGTATTTTTACACACTGAATTGTAGGTATTGAGTGTGGTTACAAAATTATACCCAACTGTTTTCAACCTATGTGATGCCTGAAGGTTCACGGGTCTGTTTCTGACGTAGGTTTGATAACCTGGATGAAACTGGAACAGATACACAGACAATTTCGAACAGATTCATAGCTGTAATGTGTATTTATCGGGCCCTTAAAAGCATTATGACTGAAATATTTTAGGAAAGTTGATCAAAACTTGAGCGAGGCTGGATGATAGCTAACACACTTCGTGACAAAGCATTGCGCATTCTCAGGCCTACATTTGGAATTGCACCACCTGTGAATGGTCTATCAAAAGCTCTATTAATCTCTATGTAAAACACCCACCCGGCCAAAAGTCTGCACACCGGGCGCCAAGCAACTCTAGCCCTCTATATCCGACAACCTTAGCCACAGAACGACATTCTTCTTCCTCCCCCCAGCGATCAACCATCATTGTAAGTATAACGCCGAGATACTGATTCATAGTTATCAATGATCTGGAGGTGCTCATGCAGCGCCACCAGCCGCCTTCTTCAGCTCATCGCCGTTGATTTTTTTCCAGCTGCCAAATAATCCAGCGACGGTGGCGACACCATAGGCAGCGACTGTAACTGCAAAGACAGCTTTCAAACCAACCATGTAGGCATCGATGATGGCGGAAACTTGCGGGGCCGTGAAAACTTCGCGGACTTGCGTTGCACCGGTCCCAATAACTACCACCGGGTCGAGCTCGGGGAGTTTTCTAGTAACCGTTTCAATGAGCTTATTGTTGAAGACGCACTGTGCCGCTGAGAGAAAGAAGGCTCCGCCAACGGTCGTGAAGACTAGAACTACTGTTAACAGACAGCTCGTGTAAGATACGTAAATTGAGGACTCACAATTGACAATAGCTGTGGCCTGCGACATATCCTCCGGTGAGGCATGAACTTGCGCATTCGACATGGCAATCTGGAATGTCCAGCCCGCGCTGAAGCCAACAAGAATCTGGTATCCAATCCACTTACCAGTAGGTGTCCCAATATCAAAAGTATAGAATAGGCCACAGCCGACGGTTCCAAAAACGCCACCTATGGTCCAGAACAGAGGTACGATGCCAATTTTGGCTAGTGCGAATCCCTGTACAATAGCAGCGATGGTTAGTGGGATGATAAGTGCGAGCATTTTAACACCAGATCCGATCGGACTGCTGTTATAAACACTCTGGAAATAGATCGGAAGAAAGTAAAGGATGATAAAGTAGGCGCCACCAAAGAAAAACATGAAAATGGAGCCCACGGAAATGTAGCTTTTCATGAACTAAGGAAACTTCACTATTAGTTCATGTAAGAGCACGGTGGGACTTGCATCATCATGGCTTACCAGCCGTGGAACAATCATTGCACGTTCCTTCTGGTAATATTCCCAAGCCACAAAGACCGGAACTATCACAAAAACGCCCACCAGTAGTCCTACAACCTCGCTACTTTTCCAGGAATGTGTTTGGCCGCCATACTGCAGCGCCAGAAGAAATGAAATGATCAATCCCATCATAAGGGCCCCACCAACGAGGTCCATTTGCAAAAACTTCTCTTTGGGTGTAGCCTTTGCTGGGGCTGCGCTACTTGGGGTTTTGAAGAGAAAGAATATTGTGGCGGCAGCAACTCCTCCGATGGGCAGATTGACGTAGAAGCACTATTTAGTGGTCAGTGAAAGCCACGATATTTTAGCGTCTCTATCATCGTACCCAACGCCATGACACTTTGTCAGTGAAAGCGCCGCCGATGAGTGGCCCCAAGACTGCGGCGATGCCATAGGTTGCTCCCGTAAAGCCCAAAAGCTGTGGACGTTTCTCAAGAGGCGCAGCAAATCCGATAATCGTGAAAACTCCCACTCCAACTCCAGCTCCGCCGAAGCCAGCGATAGCCCGGCCGACGATGAGAGTTGTAGGGTCTTTTGCCACAGCGCAGATGAGGCTGCCAACTTCAAAAATGAAAACGGCAATGAGAAACCAGCACTTGATTGGAAAGTACTTGTAAAATTTTCCCCAAGTTGATTGGAAGCCTGTAATGATTAGCCATTTTGTGTCGAGGTGGATTTAGGACAGAGTATCTGAGAATTCGTAGATATGAAGAAAGGGGCCACTCTGCGTGAAAGGTCAACATGCCATCTAGGAAGGAGTGTGTTTATATAACTAACCACTGCCATATGTCATCAAATAGGCTGCCCCGTACCACGACACTTTGTTCAGGTCATGGAATTCGTCCGTTATTTTGGGAATGGCTGTGCCGAGAATGGTCTGTTGATAGCCTTGGTCAGCTAGTCAGATGTATCGCAGACCGGGGGACTGACGTTGTCAAGTGCCACCAAAAACATGCCCAGCATGAGTGAAAACATAACAGCAGCTAGGTAGGCACCATGTGGATATTCATCAGTCGGAGCTTTTGGATCGTAGTTGGCAATATCCGTGTCGCTTTGTTCTGAACTTGACACAAGGGTAGACGAATGCCGCGAAGGGTCCTCGGCCGTGGCCTGCTTCTCTGTATAGATGGTTTGTCTCTCCATTGTTGACGAAGTTTGCAAGTGATATGACAGGATGACCAAATTGCCCCTTTTCACATTACGAAGTAAGGAGCTTGTTTATGTATGTCGACTTCGGACGAGCTCTAGCCTCAACAAACAAACCCAGACAGACGTGTCACATCTCCGAGCTCAGGCAATGGGTTTAGACAAGGAGTGTCACTACTTCGGCCGAATCAAGCTCGGCCCTAGTTTAATCTAGTTCTATAATACTAAGGAGAAGTATCTGATTAGTAGTGTTGATCCATTATATTAGTCTTGAAGACAAGAAACCCAGATCCTCGAAGAGGAACTAAATGTTTAAGATACTAACAAAAAAGTAACATTGTATTGCGACTTGGACCGTCTCTGCATATCTAGGCTGAATCGTCCGAAGGGCCATTCCAAGGCTCGGAGGTTCGGACGAATGCCCATTAATCAGCAGGAACGTGCCCCAGATGCGGAGGCACTGGGCGGCCCGCCCCTGACGTCCGTCCCGCGATCGAGGAAATAGACCTGAAGGTTTTGCCATTTGTAATCAAAACGAAAAGTGCCTCGGAGATACAAATAATCTCGGTCCAAACTTTCTGCTAGGATCTACAACTTTCCTTTCTCGGTCAAAGGCTCATATCTCTTGCCGCCGTCGTTGCGACAGCCTACCGAGTGATGAATGCTCCCTCGGACGAACGCGCAGCGAAGCGCAGAAAGGTTCGCAAAGGTACACACAGCTGCTGGGAGTGCAGGAGGAGAAAAGTCAAGTGTACTTTTTTACCGCCAGATAATGCGATCTGCATTACTTGCCATCGTCGAGGCACGACATGCATCAACCAAGTAATATTGGACGAACCGGAAAGGCCCGAGAGTGGTACGGGAGATGCTGAGCAAGACGCTTCTATCAGCACACAGCTAGTGGCCGAGAGTGGTGTCTGTTCTCAATCAGATGCTACTGGTGGCTGGTTACCACTGACGCCCTTTGCAATACAAACAACACCGGCATCGTCAGTGGATGGCAAAGTTAGTCAGTATGTTCACTTACACGACTATTTACTAATTATGTAATAAAGAAAAAGATTACATTGAGCTGCGTACAGACTCAGTTTCCTTCAAAGCCAGTTTCCAGTCATGACGCTATTTCGGAGGCTTCCGCATATCCCAGTATCACCCAAGCTCTACGAAGTTCTCTCCCTCCCCAGAAAGACATCGAAATTCTCATTGAAAACCTGAGCAGCATGTCTATATTTTCATACCAATCCAGCTTCAAGCTTTGCAACTCGTGGCCGAGCGAAATGGCCAAAGAACAAATGCCAGTAGCCAATCTCCTATATTCAGAAAGTCACCCAGTCTTGTTGGCAAGGCAAATGCTGCTTTTTGCAGTAGGGTTGCAACATCTGTCTCCCAAAAAAGCGATACCATGTCTCACCAAGCATCATCGCGCCATCATGGAGCAACTAGCAGAATCAGCCATCAAGCTGGTGAATATGGATGACGTCCTGCTGGGCACGTTGGAAGGTCTCGAGAACCTCATCCTTGAAGCCTTCTACCATATAGATGGCGGCAATATCCGACGATCCTGGATCACAATGCGCCGTGCTGTCATGGCAGCACAGCTATTGGGCTTGCATCGACAAGGTTACTATCGCTTCAAAATTATCAGCCAGCAGACCAATCTTGATCCTGCGATCATGTGGCCCTGTGTGGTTTCCACGGAGCAATTTCTATGTTTGCTACTGGGCCTTCCAACAAGCACCAGCGGTGCGAGTTTCACAATCCCAAGAGCAACGAGCGCTTTTGTTGAGAGCGGCAACTTGCCTGTACTAATTCCGGGCGTTGTACACAAGATTATCGAACGAAACCAGATGAGCGAACCTCAGGAAGCACTTGAAATAACTCAAGAGATCGATCAAGAGCTCTTGAGGGTCACCGAGCAATGGCCGCCTGCGTTCTGGCAGCCATTGCATTTTGCGGGTCTCGAAGTAAACTCGGTGGATGCCTTCCGCGAAATTCGACGAGCTTGGGACCATATATTTTATTACTCTTTGGTGAACCAGCTCCATCTGCCGTACATGCTAAACCCAAGGTATACCTCGCAGAGAATGTACTCGAGGATCGCCTGCGCAAGCGCCAGCCGTGAGATTTTGATCCGACAAACTGCGATCCGTACGTTCAACCCAATCACGGCCGGCTGTCGGATGGGCGATTTTGTTGCTCTAATTGCGGGCATGACACTGATGCTGGCCCACATATTGAGCCACTGTAACAAAGGTACAGAAAACCTACTCATACACCACCGGGTTGGAGACCGGGCGACGGTGAAGCGGGCTCTTGAGTGCATGGAATCCATGTTAGAGCTGCATGAGGATGTCCTCACCGCGAAATGTGCTGGCCTTTTAAAGAGAATGCTGGATATTGAGGCGGGGTCTGCAGAGAGGTACTCGGATGACAGCCAAGAAGACGACCAAAACGTGTTGATAGTCAAAGTGCCGTACGTTGGTGCCATCAGAATTACAAGAGACGGTATTTCTATGACGTCCATCGACACGGAGCAGGAGCAAGTTTTCCATGAGGGTGTTACGATTGGGGGCTTGGGGTCTATTCATGTCGGAACACCACGCAACTCCGACCATCATACTGATGTGGTCACATCCGACCCTTCAACCCGACGATCAACTGCGCAGGCAGTGAGCCCATCATCGGCATGGAAGCACGGGGAACAGGCTACCCAGGCCACCCCTGGAGATGTTTTTGCATTGCCAGAAGAGAGATTTCCCGACGCTTCTGCCGGCATGGAAGAATGGCTTTTCCAAGGTCTTGACACTGCCTTCTTTGATGTGCTGATAAGTGGAGCTGGGGGGCAGCCGCTGAATGGCACTGAAGGATGGAATTTTACGATGTCGCCATGAATAATGATAATTAATGATTTATAAACTCCAAGGAGCTTTCCTTGGTTTGAGCGTTGATGGCCAGGGTCTTGATATTTATAATGCAAATGTCGTCGTTGTCACGTCACCAAAAATTTCTAAAGTACATCCCCTTTTTAGAATCTGAATATCCAATACTTTCTCCCCTTACTCCTACCCAAACGGGCTCTACCGTTATCAGCACGCAATGCTCCATCCTTACCCGCAAGTGGCGCCTAAGTTCTTATCCATTAAGCTTACTTTGATTCGCTGAATATGGCTTCAAAGCCGCTTACTCCACTATATTATGCCGCCATTCAGCATTACAATGCTCGCCAGCTTTACTCCCGCGGTCTCTGCCACTGTCAAGAAGGAGGAGGAGGAAATAGGAGGTATCCACTCTGCATTTCTGAGCAGATCAGCCCACGTGACAACACATTTCACACCCCTTCCACATTCCACATCTACTTTGCATATAGACATCTACACTCGGAACTACAAATTCAAGAAAGAATAGCCCAATCAATTCCTCACCATGGACACCAAACTAGTCTTTTACGACATTGCAATGCGACCCCCAGTCGAAAAGAACAATAGCGCCGTAAACCCTTGGAAAACCCGTCTAGCCCTGAACTTCAAATCAGTCCCCTACTCTACCAATTGGGTCCCACTCCCCGACGTATCCAAGGTTCGAACAAGCCTGAACATCCCCGCATGCCGCAAATTTGCCGACGGCACCGACTTCCACACTCTTCCCGTCCTAGTGGACCCCACAACATCCCGCAAACTCGGCGACTCCTTCGACATAGCAGTCTACCTGCAAAAGCAATACCCAGCCGGGAACGATCTCTTCCCGACCCAGTCCCTGGACTATATCTTCAGCCCGGATGCCGCAATTTTAATCCCGTTGTCTGAATGCGACCAGAGTGAATACCCCCAATATGCGCGCTTCAATATGAATATCGATGCTGCATTCACCACGCACGTCGCACTCATGGTCCAAGGGTTACCTTTTGATCCCGCAACTGCTCAGGTGACGAAGGCTGAGTTTGTTCGGCGGGCTGGGGTGAGTTACTGGGAGGATTTTGCTGTTACAGGCGAACAGCGCGAGAAGCTTATTGCCTCCTTTCGGGATATGTTGGGAAGGCTGGCTAAGATTTTTGATGGGAATGGGCCATTTTTACTTGGGGATCGGGCTAATTATGCAGACTTAATTGTTGGAGCTTGGTTGAGGATGGCGAGCAAGACTTTGCCTGGCGAGGAGTGGGAGTTAGTTAGAGGGTGGCATGGGGGTGTTTTTGGAAGGTTGCATGATGCGTTGGAGATTTATGCGGTTGTTCATTAGGGGGCCCTTGAATTTTGATGTTGAGGCTAGGTATAGATGCTAGATCCCACACTACTTCTAGCTCGTATATACTCTATAAGGATAAATAGCTAGATAACTCACATCCTGTTGGTGGCCCCATAGAGCGGATATTCACCCACTTGAACATTCAGCCCGTATAGCAAAAGCGGGCTCCTCTATATTGTATTTGATAATGAGAGAGATGGTCATATCAAAGCTAAAGGCACCCATTGCATATAAAAAAATAGGCCCAATCAACCCAGAAATTGCTCCGTAAATCCATTTTCACTTCTCCGTTCCTTTGGCAGATGGATTGCTATCGCTCCAATTCCGACCATTCTGAACTTGTTCCGTATTCTTCTGCTCGTGCTCGGCCTCTTCCGTCAGATCGTCCGGGTCGGGACCCATATCACGCACGATCATGTCCATTTAACGATCAAACACGGCCTCTTTCTAAGCATTCAGTGGGGAACACTCCTCATATAGCATATCGGCCATTCCGCTTATCGGTCGGGAGGAATCTCATCTTCTTTTGAAAAATTCCATATTCTATTTATAGGCCGTTACAGTGAGAGACTAAGTAGATTAAGAGTCGGACCCTGATGGCTTGCGTTGATGCACTCTATCGATCTATACTTCAGTGCTTCATAGCTTTTGAGGTCATGTCTAACCCTCGTTATCAGTCGGTTAGTCATTCTTCTTAGCTACATTTATACCGTCAGGAAGCAAAATAGAATAATTGCTACCAGGAGCCCGGCGAAATACATACGATTATAAAGTACGGTTTTCGTCATAATACAAGACGCAAACTAGAGCAGTCTCATAAGTTGATGTCATAATTGTGAGAAATTATGATGTTACGTGTAGTGAAGGGCAAGAGTGGTTCTGAATGACAATTCAAGGTGCTGCCGACCACTTAAATTCCGAGTCGATCGGGCGAAGGACCATGGACGTGTAGGACCTGGGAACTTGCATTATTTATGGCGGACAAATACTTCGACAGCGGAGCTTTCACACCGTGGTTGGTGCATCGGCCCACAAGGGGTGGTACGAATAGATGATCCTTCAAGGATTACGCCATCCATCCTAATATTACAATCTTCAACAATCCTGGTATCGATTTCCAACAAATCAAATCTCGTATTGGTAGCTGTATTATCTTCATTCACCAATCTCTCTGGATGTGCCTCACGAGAGTTCATATATGAGGTGCAATAGGGGTAAAATGGCTCGAAGCTGCGTCGAAGAGCAGCATGACCATGGGGTCATCGTTGGCGATCATCCGATACTTTTATCATCAGTACGGTGGGGCCTGGCATTGTTCACTGGTAAGTGATAACGCGTACGACGGAGATGGGCTCAGGATCACATTTGACTAACGTTTACGTTGACGCTCAGATGAACTGCTATTTCCCTTCATGATACCTTACTACCTACTTTGCTAGAGCATCGAATCGGGTTAGATCCGTCTCTTACCCAGAGGTACACGTTGATCTTTCTTATGGAGGGAGCATTTGTTTCTATAGCCTCGAGTCCAGTCATTGGGGCGATAGCCGACGCGACCCCTGACAAAAAGGCACTCTTATTGACCCTCCTTATACTGGCTTTGATCAGTATGGCCGGCTTGTCACTCACAACCCAGTGTATGTTTCCTTTATTCCTTGCTGGTGATCGATCGTCGCGTTCAAAACCAAGCTGACTGTGTGTGCAATGGTATGGCTGTTTGTTGGTCGGCTCTTTCAATGTATCACTAGCAATGCATTGTGGATTATAGGAATGGCAACCATGGTTGAAAATCTTGGAACAGAACACATGAGCAAGATCGCCGGTCTAACTTCCACACTCGCAGCTGCAGGCACTACCACCGGGCCGGTTCTCGAAGGTCTATTGTTTGAAGCGGGAGGGTACTAGTGTGCGTGGCCAGGCGCTGCTGCGTTTCTCTTGGTGGATATTATCATGCGTCTCCTCATGATAGAAAAACCCGTCAAACTTCCGCGAGTAGTGGAAAACCAGGAGGAAGAGCCTTGGATACAAACTGGCTCACCCACAGTCGCCGGCGAACAGTCCGATCGTTCAATTTCTTTAAGAGGTGAACGGGTGGCGTTTTCACATTTGCCTATTCCTCGAAACGCGTTTCTCCGCGGGAGTTTTTTGCGCTTACATTTTCGCCGTGCTGATTGGCTGTTTCGAAAGTACTCTGGCAGTACATGTGCAAAGCGCATTTGGATGGAGAGCCCTTCATGTGGGGTTGGTTGTTGTTCACTTTGATCCAAGGTCCTGCCTGGTATGTTGTTCGCAGCTCCAGTCGGCTGGATGAAAGACCGGATAGGATCGCGAATTCCGACAGTGGTGGGATTTTTCGGCTTAGTGCCCTTTGTAATAGTCTTGGGTATTCCAGGCAACAATCTTTTTCCCTGGGCAAAAGATGAAGCTTTGGGAAAGAGCCTATACGTGGGTTGCATGGCAGCTATCGGATATGGCAATAAATTTCTTGATTCAGGCTACTTTTTCTCAGGCCGCACGATCTTGACTTGCGTCTTCGAGGCAGAGCTCTTCCGTTTCGGGGTTCTCTGGGTGATCACTGAGGTACAAGAATGCAGGAAGACATGGATCTTCTTTGCCATCAAGGACACCAAGAAGACCTACCACAATGGCGTCTTTAGATGTGAGAGATCTTCTTGCAAGGTTCTCGACCTCAATGACATCAATTCGACACCCATTCAGCTTTACAATTGTGTCTTTCTGTCCAATGTACTCAATCCGTCGCTCAGGGGTCCATCGTGCCAGGTCTCCTGACTGGTACAAGCGGGTAGACTGTCGATCTGGATGAAGTTCCTCCAACCAGCAGGGTATTTCCGCAAGAAAGCCAGCTGGCTTAGTGCGGTCTGATCCTTGATGATCCTGGTCAAGATAGCCCCTTGAAAGATGAGGCCCCTCAATCACAATCTCCCCGACGGCGCCAATTGGCATCAGCTTCGCTGGGCATTTTGGGTCGACAATCCAATTCCAACCGAGGTTGTGCGCGTAGTCTCTGATAGCAGAGGCGTAGGACCGGTGCTCTTGCAAAATGACCTTTGGCTTGCCGATGCTCCTAGAGGTGAACAGGACCGTTCAGGCATTGGATGGCTGAATGGTTTGGCATAGAGCCGACTGCGGTCCCAATGGGAGCGCCCATAGCAATTCAGGGGAGACCGCAATGACCGTTTCAATTGTATTGCGAAACTGTTCTGCAAACCCAAGGTCACTCAGCATGATATTGGCACCGGTGCGCTTTATTACTGAATTGAGATAGGCTGGTGGATTGCTGGAGTGAATCGAAATGTAGGCTCCTCCTGCGCGCAAAATGGCCAATCGCGCTACAATTGCCCACGTTGACTTCTGAAAGCTACTCAGAACAAAAGTCTCGGGCTGTACGCCTAATCGATTGAGGTGAAGCGCCAGTCGGAGTGACAACTTATCCAAGTCCTGATAAGTCAAGTCGCCATCAAATGAGCGAACTGTAAGCTTTGTTGGGTATTTGTGGCAATTTTCCACGATAAAATCGTGCAGACATCTAGAGTCAGAGGTCGCTTTTGTACGCGTAAGGCTCTTAATTGTTTTTCGATGGGGCTCCGGGCAGTAGTCAATCGCTTCGAGCTTGAAGTTCACAGGATGTGCGGTAATTTGGTGACAGGAGGACATGTTAAAAAGTCCACAACATGCTGTCGTTTAAGTAGTCTGCGATATTTTCCGAGTTCCTGATTCTAGCGCTCATCCGGTCATTGCTTTTAACAACGACAAGCTGGATTGTGAATGATGGAAAAAGATCAGAATATGAAAGCCAATGCATCACAAATGATCAGCTTACCTCTATCTTTTCATCTAGTGAAGTCGATGGAGTCAAAAGCCGGTCCGCAATAGTCACGTATCTGAGTGCTGAATTACAAACGTGGCGGGACTGAGGGATATCTGAAAGTTGAGCGCCATAAGACTGTGATGACCTTGTCATTTTGCTGAACCCTTTCATCTCCAGAGCTTCGAGAAGTGACGATACATCCCAATCTGGATTCACTCGCATAGTGAAAGCAATCGGGGGATCGGATCTCGGAATCGGTTCTTCAACAAAACTTAAGCTTGTCACCTCTGGGTGGAAGCAACGAAGGGTAAGAATCCATGCAGCTTTCAAAAAAGTTGATTCCTTGATAGTGCCTCCGATAATTTAGTCTCTTTCATCCTGGCCCAGTAATGGCCCAGTTCAAGTCCAATGAAGCCTTCAGACAAGTAAACAGACTTAGTGGTTTTATGGCCTGTGAAACTTTCGATGGCCGATCTATTTTGAGTCTAGCAAACTTGGAGCCATCTCTCAAACTCGAGAAACAAACAATCAAAGGGTGGGAGGGCAAAAATATGGCTGGGAAGGACCTAGGACACCGGTATTTACCCAAGAGACTCTACCCCTATTAACCGAAGGCCTAGCTACTCACAAGCGGTGAAAAAATATAGTTCGCTGCAAGGTCAACCTTTTAGGGTTCCAAATCCCCGAAATACTCAGATCTTTCTTTTTCTCTTCTCTTTTGTCTCTACGAATATACCCATATCCAGAGATAATTGTATCATTAACTTTGGAAGATCCCCAGAAATGGTAGTAAATTCCCAAATCAAGGGTATAACACAATGCGTTGAAGCCCTAATGTACGGGATGGTCATCCAGTTACGGGAGTTTGTAGACTTCACCCCCGGGCATTTTGATAGTAATACACCTCGTGTCTGGTGCCAAGCCCCCTTTGTACTGAGAGGCAGAGTTAAAAATTAGTACTCTGTTATATCCACACACGATATAGTACCATCCTTACCACTGCCTGCTTTCATTCTAGGTACTCGGGGCTTGTATAGAGATTATTGACATGGATAGCTCTTATCATTCCGTGCGACCACGCCATTCATGAATCCGGAATATCCAATCACGAACAAGAGCTTCAAAAACACTAGTCTCATCGATAGGGAGGCCATGCATACCACGATCTAGAATGACATAGGTTGATCGTGGATAGAGCTCCAGCAAGCGAAGGCTGTCTCGGTAGCCCACGCTCTCGTCATGCCGACCACATACAACAAGTGTTGGTGCAAAGAACTTGGCATTTTCATTGTCCAGCGAAAAAGATAACTGATATCGATGTGGATCAGCTCGGATTGGATCTAACACTTCATTGTCTGCTGCTTTGTCTGCCGGAAGGTAAACATTCTCGTATTTTGCCTTTAAAGTTTTGACGTAGGCAGGCGTTTGAACGAGAACGTTTCCAAGAAGTGTTTTGTCCTCAGTTGATATGTTCGACATGAGTTGCTCATTTGCGACCAAAGGTTTGAAAACATCGACATCGCGCATGCTGTCCTTTGGCTCAATAAGCGGTACGCGCAATAGTAAACCATCGACTTGCTCGGTATATTTTTGGGCTATCGCACGCGCAAGATAACCGCCACATGATGAGCCGACAAGTATGAACCTTGACCTCCCAAGTCGAGAATCAATAAATTGCACCAGGCGAAGGTATATCTCGTCCATATCCTTGACATTATTCGCAGGTGTTCTGCCCATGCCTGGAAGGTCCACATAAATCCGGCGAAATCCCGGTATTTTGTTGAAAATCGGCTCAAAGTCCAGCTCCTCGGCTCTTCCCTCCATCTGCCATCCATGAATGATCAAAACGGGAATTCCTTCGCCGATCTCGTTTGCGGATAGAATAGATTCCATTTTGTTGCTGGGTAGTGATTTTCTGAAGTAACAGATAGAGAAAAGAAGTTGTCAGATTGCCAACAGTCGCCTAGCTTGCCTAGTTTGGAATTTACACTAACCCATATTGGATCTAGCACACCATGTGATTGAGGGTTGAAAAAGTGGTGATGTTTCCCGACAAGGAAAGCGATATCGGACACCATAGTACTGCAGAATGTACCCATATATTGCATACAATATCGCGGCTGTAGGTTCAGGGAATTGAGGCTCGCGCCGCTTGCTTGAAATTCGAGTACCGCCTTTCTGATTTGGTGAGACCAAAGATTCTGCCATAAATTCTGTCCCTTCAGTAATTCTGGTTTAGATGCGCCGTAGTAAAAGAAAACTTGCATTTTAACCAGAAAAATCGCATATTCGGCCTAGCTCCTGGCTCAATATACTATATAAAGCCCTGAATAAGTATTGGATAAGTAGTTGGCGATGAGGGGGTCCTACATATGGAATGAGATGTGACATGAGTGACTTACTTTTGTTAGTGGTTTACATAGTTATGAAGTGTAGGTATCTACTGTCTTCTACAACTGTAACGGGGACCTTGGGAGTTTGATAGAAAAGCGATGTATAAGTGAGAAGGCGATGAAGTGGCGATGCGAGCATCAATCCTCACAAATAGAAAAGAAATTGAAATTAGCATAATGCTTCGAGAAGATGGTGGTAAATGCGGTCAGGAAGTATCCAATGAGAGAGTCGGGTCAAGGTGTCGCCCGTACGAGATGAGTAAGGTGAAAATCCCCCTCTATGCTAAGCTATATATAAATGATCAGTACATATACGCGGCAATTATCCACTTTCTCCAGTGTAAGAAAACACCTAATGCACGAAGCTTCATAACTATTAGCCTTCGGGTTGAAGTTAGTTACGACATCACCGCCCTAGACAGTAGCCCCCATATCGGCACGCGCGGCTTCCTTAGTGTTGCCTGCAGTAGCGGGATGGAAGGAGAAGATGGACTGCTTATCATGTAAGATGCGAGATCGTGCATCTCTATTTCATCAAATCTCGATAAAGTAGAACACGCTTTCTGCGAGCCCCTCGGAGAGCGCTGCAACTTGGAGAACAGCATGGCAGATAAATCATATGTATCTGTGTATGCTTGCCCTGCTGTGATCTTCTGGGTGGGTGCCGTATACACCATGTACTACCAAATGATAGTATAAGTGCTTGCACGTACAACTCTTGTTGGGTGGTAGAAATTGGGCTATAGTTATACATTTACCTACTATCACTCTGGTTCTGAAAGCAATAGGTCCATTTCTCACCAAAAAAATCCAAGCTAATTCCAGAAGGCAGTATGCATTGCAAAAATCGGCCATTTTATGGCCTCTGTTACAATTTTTAAATTCGCGTATAACTGTACTCAGCAAGTTCACATCAGGACACCAGTAACGTTGATACCTGATATACAAGGCACTCAATATGAAGTGGCGTGCCGCAGTAAGACATGTTGTTCGTGGTGGAACCGTCGGTTTAAAATAGCCGGCGACCCGAAGAAGGCAGAGAACTTCGGATACCCCGAGCCTGCTCATAGGTCAATTACTAGGGCGTAAAGCAATGAGATCGATGTCTCAAGGATCTTTATAGGGTCCACTGGGGCATATAAGACATTTTCTTACAATACATGACGGCATCTGGAACCAAGCTAAAGCAAATATGCTCTAGCGTTTTGTAAACAAGCCGTGAGTACCTCCCGGAGATTGTTCTGATTTGAGTGAAACGAAATTTGATCCACTATGCCTGAGGGGTTCAAAACAAGATACAATCATATGGGTCGCATGATCCAATCACAACACATGTGGCTTATCGACTTCGCCTATATTTAGCGAGACTAGGCCACGGGTATATTGTTGTATACCCGTGGACATATTTAAGTTATCTTTAATGATACATCTATTGGGTCATCATGTTCATGTGTCTTATAGATGTAGGGAAAAGGTTATGCTCGCTTAGTATCACTATGTACACAGTAACACGAATAACAAGCTTCAGCCACACTCGAGTACCCCCAAGAACACGACTAGGGCATCGAAGCCATGCATCTGACACGTCGTCTGGTCCCCACAAGTCCTCAGGTCATGATAACGAGGGCCATAGTACAAAATAGATACGAGTGAGCATGGCAAAATAAAATATAACAAAATTACCCTGCCCATCATCCAAGGTTACCGGTGACTCTGTGCGATTCCCGGGACCCGTTAGATAACTAGCACAAAACCAGCAGGGTAGGAATTTCCCCGGGAGTGCACCTAGAGACGGGATCACCTAGAGACGGGATGGGATGTACAAGTAGTTAGTATGTATGTATGTATGTATGTAGGTGCATATGTAGGGTCCACTGGATTCGCTTAGTCCTATCTAAAATACGAGAGGGAATAAAACCCGCGAAACAGGCCCCGAGGGTAGTGAATTGAAGGGTGGGCGAATATTCTATCAAACAGGGAATTTCAAGCTCTTCGAATGGGGTTTTACATATTTCCTTCGCATAGAGTATCAAATTGAAGTTGTGACGTCGAAGGCGGGCTGTACCGAAAAAAAAAAGAAATCCGCTACCAACATGTGCGGAATAGAATAATTTTCCTTTTCGCTACTCCATATGTTATTTAGTCGAATTGATTACGAAGATTGCATGATGCAGCTCGAAAAAAAAATAAGAAAGCTTATGCTTTGACCTAAAACTCCCATTAAATTATTATTATTTTTGGGTCATGTATATCCCAGCCACACCGGTGTGCTGATACTGATGCAGCTGTATCGCTAAGAACTGCCCTTGGACGCCCACGAATTCGATGTTTTGCTGGAATATGTAAAACATGGTGAAAGTGCTTAGGCTGAGCGCAGTTGATATCACAATCTACCTAGGTTTGCTACTAATTACCAAGAATATTCGGCCGCTTTTACACTTTTCTTTTTTGATGGTCCTTTTAGTGGTCTTTTTTTAAGTCTGTTTCCCTTATGACTATGACGTGTAGAAAAAGGGAAAAGAAAAAGAGTCAACCGTACAGGCGACTTCTATGTATAACCAAGGACAAAAACCTGAAATCCTTTGGATCTATCTGAGACACGAACCAAGAACTAGCAAGCGGCGAATGTCAGTGGATCGAGAAAATCTGACCGAGTGGGTCGGTGGTATACGGGACTATCTATAGCCCATCTGTTCGGCCCGATAAGGCGATGTGCTCCATAGTAAAAATGTATTGTTTGAAATCTTTTTTGAAATCAGTAAATAGCTTGTCTCAGTTGTTTTTGTCCTTTCACTCATCTCACTCTCGCTATCTACTCATTTCATTCGTTGAGTCGTGCATTTTTCCAGCAGCAGGTTCCTGCTGATAACAGTATATACGGAAATGCAGCGCTCAGCTTTCCTCATACTGTCGTTTTTGAGCGTCTCTGCTTTTTGTTGGCCCTACGACGAACCACTC